CCATGTTCTAGAAGCATTCTCTCTTGATGTTTTGCCTGCATCTGTGGCAAGCATCCTCACAATCTCGGTTGATGCTTGCCACAAATGCAGGCGAAACATCAGGAGAGAATGCTTCTAGAACATGGCCATACAGCCCGAAAAACCTACAACAACCCAGTGATTCAGGCCATGAAAACCTTCGACAATATACAAAGCAAATTGTTTTTCAGAGGAGTTGGAGGTGTTCATTTCTTGCAGCACCTAAAGGAGGGAAATGTGGCAGCACCTTTCAAACTATCTGGTTTTTACATCTTGCATGAGCTTTTGTGGATTTAATTTTTTTGGCCCAGTACTAAATTGACTTCAAAGCTTTGAGTTTAGAGAATATTTCCACAATTGTTAGACTGGGGTAGATTGTCATAGGATCCAGAAAGATGCTCACCTGTAGCACCCCCCTTGTCTTATGTGGTCCTTCCTTTATTTTTTCATTGGTAGAATTGGCAATGATTGAATCTGCTTTAGGAAAGCAAGGTGTTGTTGTTGTTGTTATATTGAAACTCCGTTTTGTACCCCATCTTGAGTTGTGAGGAAAGACAGGTAACAAAAATAATATTAATATTATTAATATTATATCTATATATAAAAGTCAATATTTTATTTATCATGTCAGAAGTGAATGGAGGGAACAGTTATTATGTATTTAAAAGAACACAAACAAAGTTAAAAACCTGGCATTATACTAGATTTCTTTTGACCAGAAGCTGGCCACTTGGAGTGCTTCTGGTGTTGCTGTGAGAAGGTCCTTCACTGTGCATGTGGCAGGACTGAGGCTGCATTGTAGTAAGTGGTCTATGATTTGCTCTTCTCCACACTCGCATGTCGCGGACTCCACTTCGTGGCCCCATTTCTTAAGATTGGTTCTGCATCTTGTGGTTCCAGAGTGCAGTCTGTTCAGCGCCTTCCAAGTCACTCAGTCTTCTGTGTGCCCAGGAGGGAGTTTCTCATCTGGTATCAGCCATGGATTGAGGTTCCGGGTTTTAGCCTGCCACTTTTGGACTCTTGCTTGCTGAGGTGTTCCTGCGGGTATCTCTGTAGATCTTAGAAAGCTGTTTCTTGATTTAAATCAAGAAGGATGGGCTGGAGATGTCAATGCCTTGGTCCTTTCATTACTGGCTGCTACTTCCTGACAGATGTCAGGTAGTGCAATACCAGTTGAGGAGTGTAATTTCTCCAATAGCCTAGGGCGTAGACATCCTGTGATAATGCAGCATGTCTCATTAAGAGCCACATCCACTGTTTGAACATGGTGATATGTGTTCTACACCAGGCATGCGTATTCAGCAGTAGAGTAACAAAACACAAGGGAGATGTCTTCACATATAATCTATGAAATGATCCCCATATGAACCTGGGTGGTGGGCAGTGTTGTATTTGTGGAGGACATTGGCAGGCTCTTGGACATGTTCATGGTGCTCTCTATATAACCTGCAATGTCATTGGAAGAAGGGCTTTGGTATCCCCCAAGTTGTGGAAACTATAGCTGTTTGTGGAGGCTGGGGCTTGTCTGTGTAAGTGGACACCCAGTCACACACACACACACACTTTCACTTTTATTATGTGTATAGATTGCATTTTATTTTAATTGTTTTGGTAATCTATCTCTTAATAGGCTTAAGTAGTTAGTCCCAGGTGTCCCAACCTGGGAAAAAATTGATACTGCTGCTACTCCTACTAATAATAATGTTGTTCTGTCGCCGCTGGATCTGAAATGAAGCGCCTTTAAGAGAAGATGTGCGGCTTAAATCCAGCGGGAAGCCAGGGCCCCCAAAAAGGAGCCTTTAGGCAAATTTCCCTCATTAAACAGTATTTAGGAAGCTTGAGCTTAAATATAACAGTCATTTATTGATGAACAAACAGGAATTGTAAAGTTTGCTTGGTAAAGAAACCAGTTCTCTCAAACTTGTCCACAGGGAACAGGCACTATCTTCAATAACTTTGTTCAAAGGAAAATTCCCCTTTCTAGTCCTCCCAGGCTACCGGCTGAACTGCGTCTCAGAACCGAGCAGACGTACCAGCAGGTCTGTAGTCACTTAGCTGGAGATCTTGATGATTAGAGCTGTTATTCCCTCCAGAATTCCTCAGGGCTGTAAGGCTGTTTCTCCGGAACCTTTGGGAATCTTTAGAGGCTTAAGACTGTTCTCCCCCGGGAAATCTTAAGAGATGAAGCCTTTGTAGAGGAGGACGTCTGTACACATCCTCTGCATTGACTTCCTTTGCTGAGACTAACTGAAAAATGGCCCCTTCCCTCCAAAAAACCCAGAGAGGGGCGGGACCAGGGATCCTAACTATTATTGACAGGTGGCTTGCCCTATGAATGCAGCCAAAGGAAGCCACCTATCTGCAAAGTCCCTGAAACTTAGGACTATGAACACACACTCAGTGCAAAACACAAAATTGGAGCCCCTGGAACAGCCGTTCCAGAACAAATGTTATTATTGTCGCCATCATGATCATTACCTCTTCTAGGACATTGGTCTGAACAATTTATCTTATTTTCAATTTAATAAAAGGGTATAAATATTAATAATAGTAATAATAATGTCATTATGATCATTCTCCGTTCTAGAACATTGGCCTGAACTATTTATTTTATTTTATTTTATTTTCAATTTAATGTATCAATAGGGTAGTAGTAGTAGTAGTAGTAGTAGTAGTAGTAATAATAATAATAATAATAATAATGTATTGTCGAAGGCTTTCATGGCCGGAGGTAGTGAGGTCTGTTGGAACTAGGAAAAAGGGTTTATATTTCTGTGGAATGACCAGGGTGAGACAAAGGACTCTTCTCTGCTGGAGCTAGGTGTGAATGTTTCAACTGACCACCTTGATTAGCATTTGATGGCCTGGCAGTGCCTGGGGGATCTTTTGTTGAGAGATGATTAGATGTCCCAGATTGCTTCCTCTCTGTTGTTTTGCTGTTGTAATTTTAGAGTTTTTTAATACTGGTAGCCAGATTTTGTTCATTTTCATGGTTTCCTCCTTTCTGTTGAAATTGTCCACATGCTTGTGGATTTCAGTGGCTTCTCTGTGTAGTCTGACATGGTGGTTGTGAGAGTGGTCCAGCATTTCTATGTTCTCAGATAAAATGCTGTGTCCAGGTTGGTTCATCAGGTGCTCTGCTGTGGCTGTTTTCTCTGGTTGAAGTGGTCTGCAGTGCCTTTCATGTTCCTTGATTCGTGTTTGGGCGCTCACTACCTCTGAGGATGTTTACCATAGATGCAGGTGAAACGTCAGGAGAGAATGCCTCTAGAACATGGCCATATAGCCCGAAAAAACTTACAACAACTCAATAATAATAATGTCATAATTGTTGCCATCATGATCATGATCTGTTCTAGGACATTGAACTAAATAATTTATTTTATTTTCAATTTAATAAAGGAGTATTAATAATAATAATAATAATAATAATAATGTCATTGTTGACATCATAATTATTCTCCATTCTAGGACATTGACCTGAACATTTTTTATTTTTTTATTTTAAAAATATTTATATTTATATTCCCACCTTTCTCCATTCTTAAGACCTAGGACAAGTTCCCAAAGTTTTGATAAGCCAGCGTTACCAATTTAACTGCCATCGTCCTTTCTTATGAGTTCCTGGAGTGGATAGTTTTGTGTGGTTAAAGTGACTTTCATTGGGGTGTGTGAGTGAGAGCTGCTAGCATTTAGGTACTCTGACAGTAATCTGAGTGAAATGAAATTAATTGGCAGGTGAAACAACAAAATCTATTCTTGTTGGTACTGCGTAGGAAGCACATTTTAATTGCCTGAGAACACAAAAGAATCACAATTAATATGAATTGTTGAGGCCACTGGAAGAGCCATAGAGTTTGAAGGGACCCTCAGAGGCCATCCAGTCCAACCCCTTCTGCCAGACAGAGAAAGCACAATCCAAGCCATCCCAACAGATGGCATTGAGTTTCTGTTTCAAAGCCTTCAAAAAAGGAGCCTCCAACAGACTCCAAGGCAGAGAGTTCCACTGTTGAACAGCCCTTCTTATGATCAGGAGGTTCATAAGAGCCATAGAGTTGAAAGGGATCCTCGGAGGCCATCCAGTCCAACCCCCTTCTGTCAGGCAGAGAAAGCACAATCCAAGCCTTCGCAACAGATGACCATCCAGTCTCTGTTTCAAGGCCTCCTAAAAAGGAGCTTACAACAGACTCTGAGGCAGAGGGTTCCACTGTTGAACAGCTTTTCTTACGATCGGGGGTTCTTCCTAATGTTCAGGTGTTCTTTTCATGTCATTTGAACCCATGGGTACATTGAGTCCTGGTCTCCAGGGCCGCAGAAAACAAGCCGCCTCCTTCTTCCTGATGACTTTAAAAAATTTTCTCCCTCTAGCTCTCAGAAAAGGAGATCTTGAAATCAAATGGGAATATTTTCATAGCTGTTGTTGAAAGATCTTCTTTTTAGAGTGAAAGATAATAGTTTGGAGAACGAAATGTGCAACCAAGGATTTATTGAACTGGAGCACCCATCCTTCCCTATTAGCTATGCTTGCTGGGGATGATGGGAGTTGTGAGGATGTGAGTGAGTACTTCCACTTGTAGGTCATGTTCTACCCTCTCTGGAGGAAGGCACACTTGATGCCAGTCCATAGTGTCATCTCATAGAATGAAAGAATCCAACCCCCTGCCACACAAGAAAAGCACAATAAAAGTGTCCCTGACAGATGACCATCCAGCCTCTGTTTAAAAGTTTCCAATAAAGGAGCTTCCACCACATTCTGAGGCAGAGCGTTCCACTGTTGAACAGATCATACAGTCAGGAAGTTCTTCCTAATGTTCAGGTGGAATCTCCTTTCCTGTAATTTGAACCCATTGCTCCTAGTCCTACTTTCAAGGAAACAAGTCTGCTTCCTCTTCCTTATGACACCATCTCGATGCTAGAGAAGGAAATATTCCATGAAAGAGATTTTTTTTCCTCCTAAAGAGCCCTGTCTTTCTCCATGATAGGTCTTCTGTGGCAGCAATGTCTTCGGAGTCAGCTTCTGGACATCAACGACCTCCATCACCAGGTGCCCTCCAACTCCCAGAAGGTCGCCGCACACGGGATCGGTCCCCTTCGCCAGCAAGAAGCTACCTCATCCCTAGCCCGCTTCCCACCCGAAGGACCCGCACACGCTCAGCGTAAGTATTTGTGTGTTGTGGGGGATTGTGCTGCATATCTCCTTCTTGGAATGGTGTCGTTTAAGTTCTGGAAAGGACCGCCAACCTCCAAATCAACCTAGGTCAATTTCATTATTTTCAGTAATGAAAGGACCAAGGCAGTGACATCTTCGACCCATCCTCTGTTTGAATATCAGCCAGCATGCCAATGCCTTAAATCAAGAAATAGCTTCCTAAGATCTACAGAGATACTTGCAGGAACACCTCAGCAAGCGAGAATCCAAAAGTGGCAGGTTAAAACCCAGCACCTTAATCAGTGGCTGAGAGTTGAGACCAAATGAGAAACTCCATTTGGGGACACAGCAGATTGAACAAACTGGAAGGCATTGAACAGGCTGCGCTCTGGCACCACGAGATGCAGAGCCAACCTTAGGAAATGGGGCTACAATTTGTGGAGTCCACAATATGCGAGTGTGTAGAAGAGCAAACCACAGACCACCTTCTACAATGCAGCCTGAGCCTTGGCACATGCACAATGGAGGACCTTCTCACAGCGACATCAGAGGCACTCCCAGTGGCCAGCTTCTGGTCAAAGGGCCTTTAATATAATGCCAAGTTTTAAAAAACTTTGTGTTTTTAAATGCATTTTAACTGTGCCCTCAACTTACTTCTGACACATAGAATTATACAGTTGGAAGAGACCTCATGGGCCATCCAATCCAACCCCTGCCAAGAAGCAGGAAAAACTCATTCAAAGCACCCCCGACAGATGGCCATCCAGCCTCTGTTTAAATGCCTCCAAAGAAGGAGCCTCCACCACACTCCAGGGCAGAGAGTTCCACTGCTAAACGGCTCTCACAGTCAGGAAGTCCTTCCTCATGTTCAGATGGAATCTCCTTTCCTGTAGTTTGAAACCATTGTTCCGTGACCTAGTCTCCAGGGAAGCAGAAAACAAGCTTGCTCCCTCCTCCCTATGACTTCCTCTCACATATTTATACATGGCTATCATGTCTCCTCTCAGTCTTCTCTTCTTCAGGCTAAACATGCCCAACTCTTTAAGCCGCTTCTCATAGGGCTTGTTCTCCAGACCCTTGATCATTTTAATCGCCCTCCTCTGGACACATTCCAGCTTGTCAATATCTCTCTTCAATTATGGTGCCCAGAATTGAACACAATATTCCAGATATGATCTGATCAAGACAGAATAGAGGGTTAGCATGACTTCCCTGGATCTAGACACTAGACTCCTATTGATGCAGGCCAAAATCCCATTGGCTTTTTTTGCATCACATAAATAAATAGTTTCAGAGTGCCTTCTGGGCTTGCTTTCTGGAGAGCCTTGGAGTATTGGTTGGGTTATGAGACACATGGGTCAAACCCAAGCCATGTCATGCCTTTTTATGTGGCCCTCCTTCAGATGTTGGATTCCTCTCCTGTATTCCTCCTCGTCATTAGATATCATGTCTGGAGCTGATGGGAGTTGAGATACAACGACACCTGGAAAGGCTGCAGTTTGTTCTCTTTGGTCAGGAGAGTGGGGTTTGGATTGAGAGGCACAGCTTGTGGATCGGGTGCCTGCCTTTAAAATATCCTTGAACATTTCCCCAACCTCGGAGACACAAGGGATGTTGAGTTGCAGTTCCCATTATCCCCATTCCACATGGCTGATAATAAAAAATGAGGTTAAAGCACTGAGCTGCTGAGCTTGTTGATCGAAAGGTCGCAGGTTCGATTCCGGGGAGCGGCGTGAGCTTCCGCTGTCAGCCCTAGCTTCTGCCAACCTAGCAGTTTGAAAACATGCAAATGTGAGTAGATCAGTAGGTACCGCTCCGGCGGGAAGGTAACGGCGCTCCATGCAGTCATGCCGGCCACATGACCTTGGAGGTGTCTACGGACAACGCTGGCTCTTCGGCTTAGAAATGGAGATGAGCACCACACCCCAGACATGACTGGATTTAATGTCAGGGGACTACCTTTACCTTTACCTAGGGGATCCAAATGGGGTAAAAACTAAAGAGCACTGACCATTATGTAAAACAGTGGTTCCCAACCTTGGGTCCTCCAGTTGTTTTGGACTTCAACTCCCAGAAGTCCCAGCCATCTTACCAGCTATTAGGAACTGTGGGAGCTGAAGTCCACATGGAGGACCAAAGTGTGGGAATCACTGATGTAAAACAATAATAGTTGACCCCACTGTCTCCACAGGTTCTATATCCATGAATTCAGTGGGCCTTTGAAGGCAACCATAAGGCTGATGTGGCCCTCCATGAAAATGAGTTTGACACCCATGCCTTAAGAAGACCATGGCCTCAATCCACTTGGTGACAGACACTTGACTGTTGTACAACAGGAGCTGTTCATGAGCAGCGCTCCACACGCAATCCATTGCTAAATCTAAAACGAGCGATAGATGGATTTCACGTCCACACTAGGCTATCATTTGCTAGTTTGCTCCTTGACTCTTGAGCATTTATTGTCCATTTTTCAGTTGGAGAAACCCATTAAAACCTATCCAGCTTGCCTTAAAGAGATAACCACCTTAATTTCCCCAGGATCTTACTTTTTCTGCCAGACTCCTAAAACCACGAGGTTTTTGTTCCTGAGATCCCAGTCGTGACCCTTGGATTACAGCCAATGTTTTCAACTCAAATAGGCTCATTTCACTAGTCAAATAGGCTAATCTCCTGCTGCCCTGGAGACTAGGATGTAGAACAATGGCTTCAAACTAGAAGAAAGGAGATTCCATCTGAATATTAGGAAGAACTTCCTGACTGTGAGAGCCGTTCAGCAGTGGAACTCTCCACCCCGGAGGGTGGTGGAGGCTCCTTCTTTGGAGGCTTTTAAACAGAGGCTGGATGGCCATCTGTCGGGAGTGCTTTGAATGCAATTTTCCTGCTTCTTGGCATGTGTTTGGACTGGATGGCCCATGAGGTCTCTTCCAACTCTATGATTTCCTCTGCTATTGACAATTTTTCAGCTAGAATAACCCATTTGATATGGGCTCTTCTATCTGAGTTAACATGGTTCAACTCAAAACTCCCGAGTTGAGTTGTTTTTGAACATTTGAGTCAGTGGATCCACCAAACTTTGCACTAAGCATCACGATTTCATGATGCTGCACATTCTTTTGCAGTGCATAATGCATAATTCAGAGCACTCCTTGATTCACTGAATAATATCAGGTTCAGGGCTTGATTCCAAAAGGGCTGGATTGTCATAAAAGTTTGCATATTGAGGAATATGCTTATGCACACCTCTTGCAACTGCAGTCCATGGCACCTGTGGCATTGTGATAACTCGGAAGCTCAAATGACCCAACAATGGTTGGTTGCGTCACAACAGCAGGTGAGTCAGAAGTTGCAGTGTGGAAAGAAGTGGGAAAGAAGGAAGGTAGAGGGACATGGGGTGGGAATGGTCTTGGACCTCCCCACCTTGATGTTCCCCTGGAGCGACCGTGGCACCTCTTACTGGCTTTTCCATGGCAGCAAAACAAGTTAGATCCAGCATATCACGGTGAGGAGGAAGACATTGCAAACAGCAGGGAGAACATGCCAGACTAGTTCCAAATGGATTGAGGTCCCACTTGTAAGCCAAGGTCCATTCCCTCCATCTTCTCATCGGGTTTTGTGACTTGAGCTGAGCATGCCCACCAGGAACTTAATAATAATAATAATAATAATAAAACTTTATTTATCTACCACTCTATCTCCCCTCGGGGACTCAGGGCGGTTTCCAAATAGCAAAACACCAACATACAGAATATGCAAAACAGAAGCATAAAATTATCAAAACAACACAAAATACATTAAAAACCAATCCCACCCAATTCTTTGTGCAAAAATTACTGTTAGGGCAAGAATTTTAAAAATGGGCCTAGGTAAATTAAAAGGGCCAGATCAAGACTAGTGCAAACATAGGACATGGGGGGAATGGGTAAGGTGCAATAACCGGTCCCAACCATAGTAAAAGTGGGGTCTGTGGCTGCTCAATTGGGGGACTGTCCGGGATAAAAGATAGGGGTGCGAGGCCAGATACTAATAATGTCCAGGGGCTGGGCTGGCAGTAATTGTTCTCAAAGGCCTGGTGAAACCACCATGTCTTCAAGCTGTTGCAAAAAGAGGAGAGGGATGGGGCCAGTCCTATTTCCCTAGAAAGGGCGTTCCAGAGGCGGGGGGCCACCACCGAGATGGCCCTCTCTCTCGTCCCCACCAGCCATACTTGTGACGGTGGTGAGAGCGAGAGAAGGGCCTCCCCGGAAGATCTTAGAGTTTGCACCGGTTTATACAAGGAGATGCGATTGCGAGGAACCGTTTAGGGCTTGAGTTGTTGCTCATTTTGTTATCTGTTTGGATTACCCAAGGTAGAGGCCAAACAATAGGAAGTCCTTTTGATCAGCTTGTGGACTGTGTATTTGTTTAGGTCACCAGTGTCAAAGACTCTAACATAAGTTGAGTGTGAGCAGCCAACAGGACCAACATTCAGCCAGAGACTTGGGTTTTCCTCTTATATTTCAAGGCATAAGAGCAAGGTTTTAGTGGTTACAGTTAGATGAAAGACTTGGGAGATCCCAACTCTTGGCCTGAACAACCTCACAGCATGTTGGAGGAAAGGTGGGATATCAATCTATTGATTGCTATCTGTGATATGTGCTTTGTAGGACCGCAAAGATGCACAGTGAGCCATGAAAGTAGGCTAAGGGTCGCCATTGGGAAAGACTGGAATTGTCAGCAAAATAAGCTCTTTTTGGATCAGTTCCCAGTCTTTGACATTCTTGGAAAACATCTTAGATTTGCCAACCAGGACGCCTGGGAGTTGAAAGTTCAACAGGGTCTGGGAACACGCAAATTGGAAACTGCGGCCCTTGATAATGACTGAGAGCAATGAATCTGGAGGACTTCTGTAATTTTTTAAAATCTAAATGTCTCCAAGTACTCTTGGGCAGTGATACCCTAGCTCCAAAAGTTAGAATTTTTTTTGCAATATCTCATATTACATGTGGTTTAGATTTTTGCTTTAAATGAAAAAGATTCATGGTAGACCAAGAGATAAAATTTGGAAAGACGGTTGCTTTTGCTGAAAAATAAGACAATAAATGCTCAGTAGTCAAGAAGAGACCTAGGGAATGTGGAATCTATGTATGTCTCAGCAATGGATCAAGTTCCACCATCAGCTCAGAGGACATTTTGGAACAATATTTTTCAAAACCACACAAGAGTTCAATGGTATAGTGCATTGAATCATGACTCTGGACACCAGGGTTCAATTCCCTGCTTGTCTTTGGAAACCTTTCTTGGGCAAGTTACATAGTCTCAGCCCCAGAAAACCCCATGATAGGTTCATCCTGGGGTCACCATAAGGTGGAAATGATGTGGTGTTACAAACGACAAATAGTAAAGGACTGCAATATAGATATTTTATTGCATAGCTATCTCATTACATAGCTATCTCATTTGGATATTGTTTTCATCCTTTGCAGAACATCAAGAGCCTCTGAAGGGCCCACCTACAAGGGAGTATGCAAGTGCTTCTGCCGTGCCAAGGGCCACGGATTCATCACTCCTGCAGAAGGAGGTTTGGACATCTTTGTGCACATCTCTGAGTAAGTATCCCAACGGAAGGCATGGATGGTATCCGTATAACCCCATGTAGTTTCACAAAATGGACCAACAAGAGAGACAAAACCTCGCAACCCCCTAGCAATTTTGTTATGATTTTTTCACTTTCATGGAGGTCCTGTGCCTATAACTCCTTCATTGGAGGCTTTTAAACAGAGGCTGGATGGCCCTCTATCAGGGATACTTTGATTGTGCTTTACTTGCCTGGCAGAAGATGGTTGTACTGGATGGCATTTGGGGTCTCTTCCAACTATATTATTATTATTATTATTATTATTATTATTATTATTATTATTATTATTATTATTATTATGATGTTATTATTTGATACACAATGATGTATGGCTGTTGTATTGGATCACACGTCAAACACTTCCCAAGTGTCTAGGACTCTGATGTATCAGCAAATAATGCGTGCAGATCTGAGTAGGGTGGCCTTTTGCAGCTGACAGATGGTAATTTTGTCAGTGCCGATTGTTTTTAAGTGCTGGCTAAGGTCTTTAGGCACTTCACCCAGTGTGCTGATCACCACTGGGACCACCTTTACTGGCTTGTGCCAGAGTCTTTGCAGTTTGATCTTTAAATCTTTGTATCGTGTAAGCTTTTCCAGCTGCTTCTCACCAATTCTGTGGTGGTGGTGGCTGCTGCTGCTGCTATTAGCCATCTGTAGGGGGTGATTTGATTGTGCTTTTCTTGCATAGCAGAAAGGGTTGTGCTGAGTGGTCTTTGGAGTCTCTTCCAACTATATTACTATATTATTATTACTACTGCTGCTGCTTCTGCTTCTGAAATGAAGGGAAAGCACAATCAAATCACCTCCAACAGAGTTGGGGTCCCTTCCAACTTTATTATGATTATTATTATTTGAAACACAACAAGATGAGTCCACAGCAGACATTCTGCTGGCTGTTGAATTGGATTATTATTATTATTATTATTATTATTATTATTACTATTACTATTACTATTACTATTGCTGCTGCTTCTATTATTTCAACAGCTGGATGGCCATCTCTTGGGAGTGATTTGGTTGTGCTTTTCCTGCATAGCAGAAGGTGTTGGGCTGAGTGGTCTTTGGGGTCTCTTCCAACTATATTATTATTACTACTGCTGCTGCTTCTGCTTCTGAAATGAAGGGAAAGCACAATCAAATCACCTCCAACAGATGGCCATCCAGCTGCTGTAATAGTAGAAGCAGAAGCAGCAGCAACAGTAGTAATAATAATAATATAGTTAGTTCTATTTCTACTATTACAGCAGTTGGATGGCCATCTGTTGGGAGTAATTTAATTGTGCTTTCCCTTCATATCAGAAGGGGGTTGGACTGGATGGCCCTTGTGGTCTCTTCCAACTCTAAGATTCTATTAAAAAGTTGAGGGATGACTGTAGTTCTCAAAGGCTTTATATGATCTCTGCCTGAGTATGCTTATCCATTCAATAGTCCATTGGCCATCTCCAACTTTTTACCTCCCTCCATAGCATTGAAGGAGAGTATGTCCCAGTGGCTGGCGACGAGATGACCTACAAGGTGACCACCATTCCACCAAAGAACGACAAGCTGCAGGCTGTGGAAGTGGTCATCACCCACTTGGCTCCAGGAACGAAACACGAGACCTGGTCTGGACTTCCTGCAAATCCACTGGACTGAGATTTTGGGCAACAACTGAGAGCATCTTCAGCCCCACAGATGGGTTTTCTGTGTATCGAGTCAGGTGAAACGCAATTGAATTGGCCATTCAAAGCTGGCCAGATTAATCTTTTTCTAAATTAAAGTTTATTGGAAATTTGAAACACAACATGGGAAAGAAGGAACATTGCTCCTAACTTTGCAAACTGTCACTAGCATGATTCCCTGTTGTTATTTAGATACACAGTGGCCTTAGACATATCAAAAATAAGATAGAATGACTTGAGTGCCTTTTATAAGGCAAAGAGGAATTTGGCATTGATGGGATCAGTGAGTTTTCTGATTCAGGGGTGATATTTGCCAGTTGTTTTGGTGCCTTCTGGACTTTTTGGGGACCCTGAATAACCAAAGCACCTTCAAGAACATCTCAGTTCTCCTGATTTTTGCCTCTGAAGGTTGTTGTACAAAATACTTTTGCATTTGCTAGCCAACTTTAGTTCGGTTGGCTAACTATTAGGTTGAAAAAAGCCTGCCTCCCTTTACTTTAAAATGACAAATTTGCTGTTTTAGGTAAAACTGTATAGGTTTCTCTTTCCTGACTCATTTGTATTTGGAATCCTTTCAGTGGATTCTTAAGTTGACAATATAACATTTTGCTAGTATCTTTTTTTGTATGTACATGTTTAATTGGTCGCTGGCTTCCTGTGTCTCACGAAGATTGATGGCTCCCCCCAAAATGTACTTCACTTTCATTGCATTGCTGGTTTTAATTGTGTTTGTCCAATAGGGAAAAAAAAATTCTGAGCACTGCTTGTTCTGTTGATTTCTGAGCATTGACTTCTCTGGAGGAGAAAAAATTAAAAGGTTGAACGAATCTCCCAATTGTGGAATTGTGTAGCCATATCTGTCAGGGTCAGCACTACTTCTCATATGAAAAAGGGGTCGATATTTTGACACGACAGTGGATAATCACAAATGGTAGTAATGACAAGCGGGAGGAAGGTGTTTGGCCCACATTGGAAACTATCCATCCGTACATTCACTCGTGTAGATTAAGACACTGTTGCCTTTGGAATAATTGTCACCGTTTTGAAGGTCTCTGATAAAATTTGGCATTTTCAGCTCAGAAATGGCCTTTGTTGCGCATGCAAGATAAATGTGAGTTGTCATAGGGTTTTTTGTATGCGTGTGGTGGAATTGTAGACTGAAATGCGTTGGAAAGGGTATGCGACGGAATGATTTTGTGCCTGACACAGAATGGGACTTGGCGGGTTTGTTCTTCCATTGTTCCTAAATGGCTTACTGTCATGAATGACTTTTCAATGTCTTTGAAGCATAGGTTCTTTTTATTGCAATTTCCAGTGTGAGAAGGTATATCAGATTACAGAAAAACATTTAGACAAAGAATGACATTGGACATACAGACATACAGCTTCTATGCAACTACATTGGATTTATAATTACATTGGTTAACAAACAAAAAAAGGGGAATTACATTTTCACTCAACATTCACACACATGTACACGCATTCATCCACACGCATCCAAAATATTATAATATTCTTTTCTCCCTCCTTGGAGAAGCACCTGTTAGGCCAGACCCTGATTTCCTGCAGCTTGCCAATGTATAGTTCCATAACTTCCATGACGCCATAACTTCAAAACGCCAAAATTTCTTTCCCTAAGAACAATGCCAAGGACCAGATCTCTGTTTTCCATACAGCAGAACCTGACTCCCTGCACAAAATCCAAGACTCCAAAAGTGCGCTTCTTCCTCTTCCCTTGAGAAAGAAGCCTCAAAGTGACCAGACTGCCCATGGAGCAGAGCATGGCGGGTGGAACAGACTCCTCGGTTTGCCACACTTTGAGCATTATTAGACGGAGTCTTTTATAGCAATATTCTGTTGAAGCAGTCCAAAAGTTGTAAATTAATGATAGATGTCTTCCATCCTGGCTCCACTTCAGTTTCCTGGCCACATGTTGATCTTCGTGATTGGTGTTGACAAACACAAGGCTTGTGTTGACGTCCTTCTTAACATAAGGAATGTTGCAAATATTTCTGTTAGCAAGCAGATAGTTAGTCATTGCAGGCCTTAATATTATACTGGTGTTTCCAAAATTGTTAGCTCCATTCATGCATCCTTCCATTCATTCCCACACATCATATTAAATTCACATTTATCAAATTTGCACATTGAATTTCTTATTACATTACAATGGCATTAACACAGAAATGGAGGGCTAGAACGCGTGGTGTAATGGAAAATTAACCACGTGTAGTTCACGTTTGATCAGCCCACACATTGCCTTGTCAAAGAAAGAACGTATGCCATGTAGGTGAAGAACAAGTAGTTTACCTTTCTTAGTTCAGAACATGTGTACAATGTGATCAGTTGCATCAACTCACATAATGTCCTTTTGGAGCAGCGTTTCTCAATCTGGGGGTCGGGACCCCGGGGGGGGGGGGTCATGAGAGGTTGTCAGAAGGGTCGCCAAAGACCATTACAAAACACAGTATTTTCTGTTGGTCATCTGGGTTCTGTGTGAAAAGTTAGGTCCAATTCTGTTGTTCATGGGGTTCAGAATGCTCTTATTATAGGTGAACTATAAATCCAGCAACTACAACTCCCAAATGTCAAGGTCTATTTTCTTCAAACTCCGCCAGTGTTCGCATTTGGGAATATTGAGTATTTGTTCCAAGTTTGGTCCAGATCCATCATTGTTTGAGTCCACAGTGCTCTCTGGATGTAGGTGAACTACAACTCCAAAACTCAAGGTCAATGCCCACCAAACCCTTCCAGTATTTTCTGTTGGTCATGGGAGTTCTGTGTGCCAAGATTGGTTCGGTTCCATCATTGGTGGAGTTCAGAATGCTCTTTGATTGTAGATGAACTATAAATCCCAGCATCTACAACTCTCAAAGGACAAAACCAATCCCTCCCCCCCAACCCCACCAGTATTCAAATTTGGGCGCATTGGGTATTTGGGCCAAATTTGGTCCAGTGAATGAAAATACATCCTACATATCATATAGTTACATTACGCTTCATAACAGAAGCAAACTTACAGTTATGAAGTAACAATTAAAATAATTTTATGGTTGGGAGTCACCACAACATGAGAAACTGTATATTAAGCGGTCGCGGCATTAGGAAGGTTGAGAACCACTGTTTTAGAGAGATTAAAAATGGTCTAATTTGTCCATGTAGAGATAAACGCCTTCAGCAACTCATGAGGCAAGAGTGCACTCCAAACTCTCTCTCTCTCTCCTTCTCTGTGTGTGTCTCTGCACGTGCATAGCTCAAATCTGAACAAAAATGTAACCGTAACCACAAGTCCCAGGCTCAGCCATCTCCCTAGGCATTGCCTGACCAATCAGCTTCATGCATCTTATTTTACAGTTGACACACACACATACACTGATTTCTTGCATGCTGTAACAGAACGTCCCCGGTGACTAATCTGCCTGCTTCTCAGGTGTGTTGCAGGCCTTGACTGGATGAGCATCAGCCAATTGTCCCAGCGGCACAACAGAAAACAAGCTCAAGTATAGTGGCAGCCGCCAAGTTACAAACACAAAAGGTTCTGTAGGTTTGTTCTTAAGTTGAATTTGTATGTAAGTCAGAACAGAGGTGTTTGGATAGCAGAGAGAAGATGGACTGAAACATTGGCAGTATCGTTTTTGAGGGCTCCTTTTTAGTCTATCCATAATAGGCCTGAATTTCTCATGCCTACTTTGACTCATGTGTGGTTGTTGATTTTTTATCCTGCTTTTCAACCCCAAACATCTGGAGCCCCAGGTAGTGCAATGGGTTGAACCCTTGTGCCGGCAGGACTGCTGCCCGAAAGCTCGGTGGTTCACATCCGGGGAGTGGTGTGAGCTCCTGTCTGTCAGCTCCAGCTTCCCATGCAGGGACATGAGAGAAGCCTCCCACAGGGTGGTAAAACATTTGGGCATCCTCTGGGCAACATCCTTGTAGATGGTCGATTCTCTCAAACCAGAAGCGACTTGCAGTTTCTCAAGTTGCTCCTGACACACACACACACAAAACATCAAATGTCATTCCAAAGTAATTGAAATTGTGAGGATTGATGATCTAAAACCATGCTACTTAAGCATTTTGATATTGGGGAACTGATAATTCTCTCCCAAATAAGCCACAATTTGGTTCCATATTTGTCAGTTATAGTTGTCTTTTTTCTTTTTCTGGAATTGGCAGCAAATGGCTTCAAGATCATTCCACACTATTTGTACAGTTTTGCATGTTGAAGTCAATACAACAAAATATTTTTATTGACATGTGATGGGAAATGTGATTGGACCCAAACTCTCAGCATCCACTGCTATTGCCAGCCTAAGGTTGCTGGGACTTTCCAGCCAAAAGTTACAGGCCCATCATTCCATGCACTGATGGCTGGCGGAAGGTGTGCTTTGGTGCATGGAACAACTATTCCGGCATGCAAAGCAAGTAAGGACCATAGTTTGAGTAACCCGGGCCAGGCTTTAGCACAGCAGGTTAACCACCAGCTGCAATAGATTTTGCCAATCAAAAGGTTGGCAGTTGGAAGCCCGGGACAGGGATGAGCACCTGACCTTCAGCCCAGCTCACTGCCCACCTAGTAGATTGAAAACAGCTGTTAGTAGATAAATAAGTACCACAAAAGCGGGGAAGTATTTTAATGGCGCTATAAGGAAATACCGGAAAAATGCCGGCAATTCAATCAAAAGGAGCAAGCCTGTGAACAGGGCTCTTCGGAATGGAGGATGGAGCGACAGTACCCCCTGTGGCCAGAATAAAGCACAGCCTCCAAGAGGCCGAAGATGGGAAATGCCTATATACCTCTATCTGCGTACTGTGTCTGTCCTGTCAGTGTATAACGGCATTGAATGTTTGCCGTATATGTGTTCTGTGATCTGCCCTGAGTTCCCTTCAGGGTGAGAAGGGTGGAATACAAGTACTGTAAATAAATACATAATAAGACTTACCTGGTTCTGACCACTAGCAGATTGGATCTTTGTGGAGGTTAGTGTCCTCTTAGAACAATGGTTCTCAACCTGTGGGTCCCCAGATGTTTTGGCCTTGAACTCCCAGAATTCCAAACAGCTGGTAAACTGGCTGGGATTTCTGGGAGTTGTAGGCCAAAACATCTGGGGACCCACAGGTTGAGAACCACTGCCTTAGAATCAGAGACATCTAAGAGCTGGAGTGTTGGTCACAATTGAAAATATATATAACTACAATTCATTGTCAGGAATTTATGGCATCCTTTCTTCCGAATCTGAATGCATTCTCCAAAATTTGTATCCTCCCAATTTCTGGAAAACTGGCCTGGAAACTTAGATGATACTCAGAAACAGAGGGTTTTTTTTGGCACCAGACAAGGTCTGTGAGGAATCCCTGGTGGTGCAGCGGGTTAAACCGCTGAGCAGCTGAACTTGCTGACCATTAATTCTACAGTGTAGGTGCATCCACAGCATTTTGCCGCTTGAAGGAAGGAGGCCCTATCTATACTGACATATAATGCAATTTAATTGCTTTGAGCTGAATAATATGAGTCTACACTACTGAGTAATATGAATCTATGCCGGGAGCCCCCGGTGGCACAGTGGGTTGAACCACTGAGCTGCTGAATTTGCTGACCGAAAGGTTGGTGGTTCAGATCCAGGGAGTGGGGTGAGCTCCCGCTGTTAGACCCAGCTTCTGCCAACCTAGCAGTTTGAAAACTTGCAAATGTGAGTAGATTAATAGGTATCGCTCCAGTGGGAAGGTAACGGCACTCCATGCAGTCATGCCGGCCACATGACCTAAGAGGTGTCTATGGACAACGCCAGCTCTTGGGCTTAGAAATGGAGATGAGCACCACCCTCCAGAGTCAGACGTCAAGGGAAACCTTTTCCTAAGGTCTGTGAAGGAAAGCCAGTTTCATTGACATTAGAGATCAAGATGTTTTGATTTATGGCCAGGAGCTGTACAAAAAATGTACCTTGGACCAGTGGAAAAATCTATTATGCAAAGGCAAAGCATTCCTCATACAATGTACTTAGTTCATTGGGATTTTAATATCAATCCAATGGCACAACTGTGAATTACTGGATTTTAAAAAAATACATTTGCACATTTAGGAGTTTGAGCATTACTGCGTAGTTCAAACAAGACAGTTCTGAAGTCAGTGGACATTTTGAGACATATATTTCAATACATAGGACGCTGCATCCCACAATATGTAGGCACAATAACTGTATAGGCACAATAATCCAGAAAAAACAGCAGATGGAGAGAGGAGGAAAAGTGTGGTTCAGAGCCTGGTATTCGTATTTTAATGTTGATCAGAGCCTTCTGGTTTCCAAAAGTCATTGGAACAAACATCTTCCCTGAGGAATTTCTTCTAAGCTTTTCAATTAACCTTAAATACCATTTGAGGACAAATCACATGTATCATCTTTAGGGAGAAGATAATTTTAAGCACCATTTGGAGTCCAAAGGCTTCTGCTTGGGTCTTGAAGACTTTTTGCTATTGGTTGAAGAAGGTTTTGTGTACATATTATCTGCCCCCAAGTCTACTTTCGTTCCTAAAAGTCCTGCAGAGAGATAAATGGGTGTGCAATTCCTTTTCCCTCACTCCATTCACAGTTGTAATGCTTGAAAAGGTCCCTTTACTACCCATTTCTTTCAAACGTATGCGTCTTAAAGCCCCATGACAAGGACTATAATTTCCACAATTCCTTTTCAAAACATTTTGAGCAAAAGTATATTAGGTTCAACCTGTTTCAGGACACAGCTAACAGGGATGAAAACATGCAAGAGGTAGGAATCAAAAGCTGCAGTTTCTTCCCTAAAGTTCCCAAGGAATGGCCCGGAATAAGTGGAATGCTGTGTTTTTTTCCAAAACAGAAAACTAAACATAAAAATACCACGACCTCCACCAATGTTTGCCCTACTGGGTTATGCCCTGAGATAATGGAGGTAGGGGAGGACATAATATAGCCAAGACACCACATTTGCTGGAGTTTGGGGTGCTAGACCTCATTGGCAGGGATCCGGTTGTCCCATTTTCTCAGGTCTTTTAAAAATTGCCTGAATTCTTTTCCACCTTTGTCCCCAGATTATGAAATATGGGAGGGATTTCTGAGTTGGAAACTGGAGTTCATGTCACTCAAGTGAAGCAACATTAATATGTGCTCAGTACATCAAAAGCCATCCATTATGAGGAATGTGTTAGTTTGCAGGGATTGCAGAAGTTTGCTTTTGCCTAAGCTCACTGGGAAAGGAAAAATTCTGCTCTCTCCCCACTGTTTAGTTAATAAAGCGCAAGCCGCTTTTGCCTGTAGCATTCCTTTTGTAGGAATTCAAGTGATCTGAAGACAAAGCAGGAAATGATCCCAACAGAGGATTCTCCCAGGCAGCAACCAGCTAGGCTTTGAAGCTGCAAGGCCATTAAATGCTAATCAAGGTGGTCAGTTGCAACATTGACACTTGCCTTCAACAGGCAAGAGTTCTTTCTTCCACTCTGGACATTATTCCACAGATATACAAACCCCATTTGCCTAGTTTCCAACAGACCTCACAATCTCTGAGGATGCCTGCCATAGAAATGGACAAAGCATCAGGAGATAATGTTTCTGGAACATAGCCGGATAGCCCGGAAAACTCACAGCAACCCAATGCTATTTTTGTTGTCTCTGGGAATCTCCAGGTCAGGCCTGGGAAAACTTGGGCCCTCCAGGTGTTAGGAAATGTGGGAGTTGAAGTCCAAAACCACCCAGAGGCCTGACTTAGGTCTTCCAGGATGGCTCTGTGGCCAATGTCTGCTGGAAGCTGACCAAAAAATCAAAATGGGACCTAGACATTCCTAAGGAGAACATGTTAATCAAACCCACAAATGTAGAGGGTTGGCTATAGGGTCATCACAAATGAGAGAGACACAAAAATCTGTGACAGGGAACCTCATGTGTTTATAGGGACTAAAGCAAACTGTACGTTTCTGAGAATGGAATGGGATACACAGAAATACATGAAGGAAGTAACCAATTTTGGGTAGAATCTGGGTCTGATGGGTGTTTTTGAGATATATATATATATACACACACACACACACACACACACATATACATACAACAGTGGGTTTTGAAATAAACTAACCACACATCCATGGCAAGCAGAAAGAGCCATCTGCACAAATGGCTCAGAAGGACGGTGGACCTAAGACGGTGGCAAGGTGCATTTGCTCAAGACATATGGATGGCAAGAGAATGTGCATGTCTCAAGCCATAACCCTGACAAGAGGAGGTGTAACCCTGAAAACTGTACTATGATATCTGCCAAGAGTTGTGCTGCGGGGTGAAGTAGACAAATAACATATTTAACCGTTCAACTTTTTTGGAGGTCAGGAAAGGAAACAAGACCAGGGCTGCAGTGTGAATTTGAAGAAAAATATTTCATGGCTTGCAAAGATTTCTGAAATTGTGCCTTCACCTTCCATAGAAATAGCAGCTTGAGGGAGCAAATGAGAGTGTACAGTCCTGATCCTGATTCCTGACCTCCGTTGACTGACTGTTATACATACATACATGTATGTATATATGTATTGCCAAAGGCTTTCATGGCCGGAATCACTGGGTTGTTGTGTATGTTTCCAGGCTGTATGGCCACGTTCCAGAAACATTCTCTCCTGACGTTTCTCCTGCATCTATGGCAGGCATCCTCAGACCTCACAACTTCTGAGGATGCCTGCTGTAGATGCAGGTGAAATGTCAGGAGAGACTGCTTCAGGAAGATGGCCATACAGTCCGGAAAACACACAACAACCTATATATATCTATAACTCTCTCTCTCTCTCTCTCTCTCTCTCTCTCTCTATATATATATATATATATATATATATGGGGTGCGTCAAAAAGTAATGCCTCCATCACGCTAACATTTGTTTCTTACTCAACTGATGCAATCTTTCCTTTTTTTCCAACTGACTGATTAGAACCATGATTCTGAAGCTAAAAGAAAGAGTCATCATTGAATTTCTGGCAAAAGAAAATTAATCATCCCTAAGGAAATTAATCATCGCTTGAAGAATGTTTATGATTTGGCCCCTTCTGACTTTTTTACCTGTTTGGACCTCTGAAAGACAACCTGTGTGGTTTCAGATTCAGTGACTTGAGTGATGCTAAAACAGCTTTAAAACCATGGGTCATGAAGCAAAACCCAGAATTTTCCCAAAATGGTTTTGATGCCTGGGTTAAACGATGGTGCAAAATGTGTCCAAATTGATGTTGACTATGTTGAATGGTAGTTTTGTGTAGAGGACAGTTCAGCTATGATCTGGTGCAGCTTCTGCTGTTATATGTTCATTCATAACATTTTTATGACACAGGAGGCATTACTTTTTGACCCACCCTCGTATATTAGAATATCCATTCTAAGTAGCCTACAGTTAATTTTGGTGTAAAACAAGTCCCATGCCCTATTTAAAGAACAATTCTTCACATATCTGCCTTGTTTGCTCAGGAGAAGTCACACTATGCCCGATGGTTCTGGGGTCTGTGTAGATTTCGTAGTCGTTCCCACCCTGTGAATGAGACAAGCACAGAAGTTGGTGTTGCTACTCTATCCTGCTTTCTCTCTCTGCAAAAGTATCTCAAAGCAACGTACTGGAAAATCAATGCAATACAATTTGAAAATATACCAACATTATTTTTAGTGTGTTTAAGCATGACTTTTTAAAAATAGATTTTAAATACTTTTTAATTTACATACATTAACAACTTACATTGTAAACAAAACAAAAAAACAGTGAACGTTTTACAAACAAACACATAGCCCCACCACCAAGGCCTGAACAAGTATCCTTTCCTTCGCCATATATTTACAAGTCAACCATTAATCAAATGTCATATCCAAAATTCCTGACCAACAGGGTTATATTGTTTTCCATTTTCACTCTCTAAAGCATATTTAATAAAGACCGATCATTATGCATCAAAATCTGATCTGCTAGTTTCCCCCCTGAGTACCCTCTTTTCCATCGATAGTTCATCATTTAAGGCTATGTTCCATACCTCCCTAAACCATACTTCTGGTGTAAGATTAGTTACTATTTATGTTGAGGTTCAGCGTCACAGCAACGTATCTACCAATTCCTTGCGATTATAATTCTTGCCACTGTGAGTAAAAATAATCAATTCTTTCTTTTCCATTTCTAAATTCAACTCTGTGGCATCCATTAGTAATTAGTAATCCATTAGTAAACCGCTTTTAGTCCCCCTAGGGGTAAGAAAAGCGGTATATAAATACTGTAAAGAATAATAATAATAATAATAATAATAATAATAATAATAATAATAATGCTAACCTAGAATCCAGAGTAATATTTAGTCCTATAATATTGCATATTTCAATAAATATGTCATTCCAAAAACTCTTCAATTGGGGGCATTCCCACCATAAATGAAAATATGTCCCTTTGTCCATGCCACATCTCCAACATTAAAATAGAATTAAGTATTAGAAGTATTAAAATTAAACAGTTAAATCCCTTAACACGGATTAAAAACCTGTTCACAGTTAAAACCACAGCACCCCTCACTTTGGGGTGTTCTAAGTTCTAACTAAAATAGTAAACATCCACCCCCATTCTAGCACTCTTTGGGTGTATTACACTACAACTTCCAGCATTTAAATACGGGATGATGGGAATTGTAGCCCAGCACATCAGGAAGGCATTGGGTTGGAAGAAAACACTGTAATATGCATAATGGGAATAGAATAGATTTTTGTCGAGACTGCAATTGAATACAGTCCCGCATGTAAGAGGGCCTTCTGTTGCAGATTGACTCCCAAAGATGATTTTGTTGTATTTCCCAACTTACCGGCATGGTCTTGTCGCCAAAGAAATAGATCTTTTTAAAGCCATCTTTGGAAACAATTCCTAAGCAGAACCGTTTATCCCAACCGTCTGGAAACACGTCAAAACTTATCTGTCCACCTGGATGGATAAAGGTAAAAAACACAGATGGTAAGTTTGTTACATGGAAAAGGAATGAAAAGAATTTCATTAATCAGATACAGATACATCTCTCTAGGAATTTTTAGGCGATTTGATTATTCACAGATTTGATTAATGCATTCTCTTCTCTTTCTCTTTTATTTTTTTTATTTTAATGTTTTATTTTAATGTTATGTTGTTATTTTATTGCAATCTGTATTGTTATATTGTAATTCTTGTTCAGGTTTGGCCCCATGTAAGCCGCTCCGAGTCCCCATTGGGGAGATGGTGGCAGGGTACAAATAAAGTTTATTATTATTATTATTATTATTATTGGAGCCCCCGGTGGCGCAGTGGGTTAAACCCCTGTGCCGGCAGGACTGAAGACCGACAGGTCACAGGTTCGAAACCGAGGAGAGGCGGATGAGCTCCCTCTATCAGCTCCAGCTCCTCATGCGGGGATATGAGAGAAGCCTCCCACAAGGATGAAAAAAACATCAATATCATCCGGGCGTCCCCTGGGCAATGTCCTTGCAGACGGCCAATTCTCTCACACCAGAAGCGACTTCTGACACAACAAAATTATTATTATTATTATTATTATTCTCTTCCTTCTTTCCTCCCTTCCTTTCCTTCACTCCTTTTTTCTCCCCACACTTATTGATTGATTGATTGATTTAAAATATTTATATTCCACCCTTCTCACCCCGAAGGGGACTCAGGGCAGAGCACAGCATATATACGACACGCATTCCATAAAATAAACTATAAAATAACTATAACTATACACAAACACTAAAATCAGTTGCATCTATTTTAAAATCGGTTGTTTAAAACCATCTCAAAACACCATGCTGGCTCCGGTCAGGGTCAGGGTTTTCTATTATTGTCTTATTTCACCGTCCCAAAGGCTTGGTCCCACAGCCAAGTCTTTACCATCTTTCTGAAGGAAAGGAAGGTGGAGGCTGATCTAATCTTGTCAGAAAGGGAGTTCCATATCCAGGGGGCAATCACTGAGAAGGCCCTGTCTCTCATCCCCACCAAACATGCCTGTGATGGTGGTGAGACCGAGAGCACGGCCTCCCCCGAAGATCTTAGTTTTCATGGTGGTTCGTAAAGGAAGATGCGTTCGGACAGGTAAACTGGGCCGGAGCCGTTTAGTGTTTTATAGGCCAAAGCCAGAACTTGGAATTGTGCCTGGTAGCAAACAGGCAGCCAGTGGAGGTGACGTAACATGGGAGTTGTGCGCTTCCTTTCCTTTCCTTTTCTTCCTTTCCTTTTCTTCCTTTCCTTTCCTTTCCTTTCCTTTCCTTTCCTTTCCTTTCCTTTCCTTTCCTTTCCTTTCCTTCCCTTCCCTTCCCTTCCCTTCCCTTCCCTTCCCTTCCCTTCCCTTCCCTTCCCTTCCCTTCCCTTCCCTTCCCTTCCCTTCCCTTCCCCTCCCCTCCCCTCCCCTCACACACATTATCACAGGCAGCAGCCAATCTGCTTTGCTCCCTTTCTTGCCCAGTGATGGCCACTTCAACTAGCAATAACTTAATTTACACCTAGCCATTAATTCTGGTCCACGCATTTACAGATTTTATCATTTATTGCAAATGAATGGAGCCCCTGGTGGCGCAATGGGTTAAACCCTTGTGCCAGCATGATGAATGACCGACAGGTTGGAGGTTCGAATCCAGGGAGAGCAGGTTGAGCTCCCTCTGTCAGCTCCAGCTCCCCATGTGGGGACATGAGAGAAGACTCCCACAAGGATGGTAAAACATCAAAAACATTTGGGTATCCCCTAGGCAACGTCCTTGCAAACAGCCAATTCTCTCACACCAAGTGACTTGCAGTTTCTCAAGTTGCTCCTGACATGAAAAAAAATTATTGCAAATGCTTGTCAATCAGTTTAACAAGCATTCTTATTTGGAGGGAAAGCTTTTTTCTTCTTCTTTAAAATAAGATCATCCAGAGATGCCGAGAATTGGGGCCCTGAAAGTTTAGTCTTATTCTTTGTTTATTATTTATTTACTATATTTATATCCCACCTTTCTCGACCCGAAAGGAGACTCAAGGTGGCTTACAACATAGGCAACAATTCAATGCCTTACAAAACAATATACAATTTAAAAAAATCAAATCAAAACTAAAATCAAGGTTAAAATACATCAAAACATTTAAAAAACATTACAATTACTATTATAAATCACGCTATCCACAATCATAATCCAGACCATTCTGGTAATCATTGCACATAATTCCAAATCCATCTATTGCACTATATTATTCTTCAAAGGCTTGATCCCAAAGCCACATTTTTATTCTTTTTCTGAAGGTCAGGAGGGAAGGGGCTGATCTAATATCGCTGGGGAGGGAGCTCCACAGTCAAGGGGCCACCACTGAGAAGGCCTGTCCCTCGTCCCCACCAATCATGCATGTGAAACAGGTGGAGCTGAGAGCAGGGCCTCTTCTGATGATCTTAATCTCCGAGATCCCAATACATTAAACAGTCCTTCTTCCCCTGGTGAATTTTGACATCAGTGGAAATGTCTTTCTGGTTTACTTTAAAGAAGAAGCAATACCTATGGAAAACGTGAGGCCTTTCCCTGCGAAGTCCCTTTGCAAATCAGCCACGAATTTCTCCCTTATGTGTTCCTTCTGCTTAAAGAAATGAAAAAAGAGCCATCAGTTTAAGGGAACAGCACCAATTCACTAAATGTGCTGCAAGGTGGTGTCCAAGGTCACCAAACACTGCTGTGTTTCGGGATTGCGGGATGCTCATAGTACCATGCAGGCCAGCTCAAAACATTGTCTCTTGTACTTTGAAAATTATATCCCTGAGTTTACACGACAGTATAGGGTTTGAATCCCTAATGGATAACCATAGAGAAGGCATGGGCAAACTTCGGCCCCACCAGGTGTTTTGGACTTCAACTCCCACAATTCCCAACAGCCTGGTTGAGGGGTCAAACTCTGGTTGAGGGGTCAAACTCTGGGATAAAGAGAGGGCTTGCCTGATCACAAGCCCTCAAGAAGAAAGGCTTCAAATGCAGACGTTCACTTGCCTTATCGAACTCATAGAACTCAATCCGTTCACTCTGGCTGCAGTTTCTGCCGACCGGACACACGTTCAGCATCCCGTTCCGGAATTCAATAAAAGTGCCTCTAAAAAGAGACATAAAATGTTTGGATATTCCCTTATAAATGTTAAATCAAACAAAGGAAAAAATTGATAAATATAAAGCAGAAGAAAAATGTTAAGTTTTTAGAGACTGCTTCTAAAACTAATCATTGTCTAAGTCAGGGGTCCCCAAACTACGGCCCGCGGGCCACTTCCGGCCCGCCAAGGGCACTTATCCAGCCCGCGGAGGAGGAGCGCCCCCCCCCACACACAGTGCCCCTCCCTTGGCTGGCTCACGCTATCCGTCAGGCCCGATGGGCAGCGTGAGCCAGCCAAGGGCAGCTGCTCCGCGTGGCCTACTCACGCGTAAAGCACCTCGCGAGGTGCTTTACGCGCGAGTAGGCCGCGCGGGGTTGCTCCTCCCTTGGCAGGCTCACGCTATCCGTCAGGCCTGATGGGCAGCGTGAGCCAGTCAAGGGCAGCTGTTCCGCGTCACCTACTCGCGCGTAAAGCACCTCGCGAGGTGCTTTACGTGCGAGTAGGCCGCGCGGGGCTGCTCCTCCCTTGGCAGGCTCACGCTGCCCATCGGGCCCGATGGGCAGCGTGAGCCAGCCAAGGGAGGCTGCCCCGGCGCTCCATGCAGTCATGCCGGCCACATGACCTTGGAGGTGTCTACGGACAACGCCGGCTCTTCAACTTAGAAATGCAGATGAGCACCACACCCCAGAGTCAGACACGACTGGACTTCATGTCAGAGGAAAACCTTTAACTAGGAAAATTGTGGAAGATCCAGGGTGGGAGAAAGAACTCTTGTCTGTTGGAGGTAGGTATGAATGTTTCAACTGGCCACCTTGATTACCATTTCATAGCCTGACAATTTTTATGGAGAATCCTTTGTTGAGAGGTGATTAGCTGGCCCTGATTGTTTCTTGTCTGGAGTTCTCCTGTGTTTGAGTGTTGTTCTTTATTTACAGTTATAATTTTAGAGTTTTTTTAATACTGGTAGCCAGATTTTGTTCAGACTAGAAATAGGAAGATTTCCCATTCTCTGCTCCTGGAATTACTGCCTAAAGAGGGCTAGAAAGAACCCCCTCTAAGGGCCCTTCCACACAGCAAAATAAGATATGTGCAATGTGCAGAGGAATTTTTTAATTGATTTTTTAAAAAAAACTATAGTCCGGCCCTCCAACGATCTGAGGGACAGTGAACTGGCCCCCGGTTTAAAAAGTCTGAGGACCCCTGGTCTAAGTAATCATTGTCTAAGTATGTCTGCGTTTGGAAATATTGCTGCTTTTTTTCTGTTTTCTGTTGTCAATAACAATAACAATTTTATTGATTAGCCCTTAGGCCATATCACAATATCAAATCAAACAACAAGGCTTGATAAGACTTGATTGCACTCTATGTAGTAAGTTAAAAAAGGCACTTATAACAATACAGTAAATAAATATTGTCAAAAATTATTTTTGTAAAAAAAAATATGGGGCAGGGGGAAGTATAGTTATGGCCAGGACAATATCAACTTTTGATCTCATCCTGCAGAACCTATCCTATGGAGTTTTTGGATTAGTTTGAAGAGTCCTTCAGTAGGTTGCTACAAGTTTTCCGGGCTGTATGGCCATGTTCCAGAAGTATTCTCTCCTGAAGTTTCATCAATATCTATGGCAGGCATCCTCAGAGGTTGTGAGGTCTGTTGGAAACTAGGCAAGTAAGGTTTATACATCTGTGGAATAATGTCCAAGGTGGGAGAAAGAACTCTTGTTTGTTTGAGGCAAGTGTGAATGTTACAGTTGGCGACCTGTACTTATGTAGTGCAAAAGGAACCATACTATTGCACCCAAAGGAACACAGAAAGGTGTTTGCAGACATACCGTTTCCTAGGCAGCTTAAGTTTTGCAATGTAACTCAGGCAGTAGTTGATCAAGTCTTGGAGCAGCTCTTCACCCAGATGGCTTTGAATACTCTGTACAGAGAAACACATCAGGAGAGATTGATTGATCAAACAAACCAGGGGAGAAAGGACAATATTGCAATGACACTGTGTTTATTTAAAAGGGATTTTGTTGAGCAATTCTCAGGGGAGGAGAAAGTGGGGTTACAATCCAGGCACACTTGGGCTTTTTAAAAATTATTCCTAGATTCCCGTTAGATTGGAGACAAGTTGAAGAAATTCCCTACAGACAAGAGGTCTTTTTCCCACCCTAGGCAAGCAAGGTTTATATATCTGTGGAATGTCCAGGGCCTGGACATTCCACAGATATATAAACCTCACTTGCCTAGTTTTCAACAGACCTCTCGACCTCTGAGGATGCCTTCCACAGATGTGGGCGAAACTTCAGGAGAGAATAATTTTGTAACATGACCATATAGCCTGGAAAACTCACAGCAACTGTCAGATAGTCAGAACATTAAACTATGCTGCTGCTGATGGAGTCTCCTCCTCTAGTGGTTTTAGAGCAGAGGCTGGATGGCCAGGCAGGAATCAGCCAGTCTTTGAAGCTGCAAGGCCATTCAGTGCTAATGAAGGTGGCCAACTGCAACATTCACACTTGCCACAAGCAGACAAGAGTTCTTTCTCCCACCCTGGACATTAAACAGATATATAAATCTCACTTGCCTAGTTTCCAACAGACCTCACAACCTCTGAGGATGCCTGCCGTAGATGTGGGTGAAATGTCAAGAGAGAATGCTTCTGGAACATGGCCATACAGTCCAGAAAACTCACAGCAATCAAATGCCCTACAATTTTGTTTTAACCAGAGCTTGGCAATAATACTCCCTGAGAGCTCAAGTTCCCCAGCAAAAGTAACTCTGGCTTTCATTGCAGTATTTTAATCAAGAGTTTAACTGTTTATTTTTAAATACCATGAATATTTAATTCTCTTCTAATGTTGTTTTTTCAGTTGTATCAGTTTTACTGTAAGCCACTTTGAATCTCTTTTTTGGAGAGAAAAAGCAGGGTATAAGTAATAATAAAGTAACTTATACTGCAAGAAAACAATGTATTTCCCTCCCCCTTGTGAAATCAAGGAAGTTGTAGCTTGGAGAAACACCAATCCTATTTGGCAGAAAAGACTAAAGAAACTACAACCCAAGATTCCATAGCATTGAGTCATGGCAGTTAAAGGGGCATCAAACTGCATTAAGTCAAAATATTAAAAATTAACTAGATATTTTTAATTACAAAAATGTGAGTCAAAACACTGAAAGGGTTAAATGGATGCAATGACTCAGCAAAAGCTGCAGTTCAATATAAGCAGGTGTGCCTGTAGCTTAGTAGCCTCAGTCTGTAAAAGGTCTCTGTGGGAGAAGGGCCTCAGTGTGTTAGTAGGCCTCTGTATGAGAAGGCCTCAGTGTTAGTTCGCCTCAGTGGGAGAAAGGTGTCAGTCTGAGAGAGCCCAGAGTGGGAGAAAGGCTTCAGTGTGAGGTAGGCCTCAATATGAGAAGGCCTGGTGTGAGAAGCCCCAGATTGAAGGCCTTCTGTCAAGCTCCAGTGTGAAGGCTGCTGTGTGTGACGCTCCTGTGTAAGTTGGTGTGAGAAGAGGCTCTGTGAGAATGAAGCTGGTTATCTGCATGAGAAAGAAGTCCAACATGGAAGCAAATAAGGAAGTATAAAGAATTGTACTTGTGTTAGGGAAACCTTGTCCTTGTAAATAGTGCAACCATATTATTTTACTACAACGAAAAGCCTCCTATGGGAGAGATAACATTGGTCTGTGTGTTTTTGTTCTTTTTAGCATTTTTGGCTACTGGTGCTGGGTCACACTGCTGCTAAGTTACTCTGCTATACATTTATGGGGAGGGTCTTTTGTTATTAAGCCCACTCACCCAACACATCATACTACACTATAGAAATAACGCAGTCTAGACCACTTTATCTGCCACAGCTCAATGCTGCAGAATCATAGAAGTTGTAGTTTTGCAAGATTTTTAGCCTTCTCTGCTGTACATTTATGGGGAGGGTCTCTTGCTAATAAGCCCATTTGCCCAACATAGATGCACCCCTAAGAGACTCTCCTCAGGTCATGCAAACTCCATCCTGTGGCTTCCTTGATTGGGATCAATCCCAATTCGAAGCCAAACTGGTTTCAGTCTGAAAATCCTTATTTTCAGCAGGTTAGAAGCAGACAGAATCACACAAAAGAAAGCAGGGTAAAGAAACTGCTGAAACAGCTCATGTGAATTTATCTCAAGTTTATTAATTAAATCCATATTGCAGACTCACCTGTTTACTCAGAAGCTGTCCATCTTTGTAGGCCACTAGACCGTTCTCTGGAAAGACGTAGTCGAATCTGTCAACAACTATTGGAAGAAAGGGAGGAAACAAACAGGTTGTTTATTTTGGTTGTTTTCAGGCACGGTGGAAATAGCATGAAAACCTTTTTATGCTCCCATCACAGCCTTTACGTTTTGCAGTGGTGAGAGGCCTACTGTCTATAGAAGGCATGGGCAAACTTCAGCCCTCCAGATATTTTGGACTTCAACTCCCACAATTCCTAACAGCCTCAGGCCCCATCCTTAAGCAGCTGAGGGGGAAAAGGAAAGGGCCTGAGGCGGTTAGGAATTGTGGGAGTTGAAGTCCAAAACACCTGGAGGGTCAAAGTTTTCCCATGTCTGGTCTTTAAGTTTTTAGGTTAATTAAAAGCAATGCTGGAAAAAAATCTGTTGTTTTCACCGTATGGCAGGCACACAATTAACTCGGTTTTATGAGCACGAAAGATGGTCGAGTAAACTTACTTCCATGGAAGTGAATCTGATTAGTTAGAATACCAAACTGGGATGAATGATGTCCAATTGGTAATGGAAGAATACCCCAAATCAGCATTTCAGTGCTTCACAATGTAAGGCTTAAAATAGAGAAAGCTTACCATCGTCCCCCAGTTGTTCCTGAATTTTTTCGAAATCTGATCCACCAACAACCCCCACTTTCACCTTCTTCCTCAAAGCCTGCAGGAAGTTGGCCATCTCTGGAGTCACTTTCTGGAATGGTCAGAAAAGAATATATGTTTTTCCATCATACGAGGGTTGAATGAAAAGTAATGCCTTCACTTTCGTTACTTGGGTTTGGATGGGAATATTTTAATAAATCAAATGCAGAAATAAGCCTTACAATGTGCTCTTTAACTATCGCTATTCACTTTTCCACATAATCACCAGACAATTGGATACATTTCTGCCAACGGCGAACAGGTTTTCTGAAGCCGTCACAGAAGAAGTCGACACTCTGTTTCTGCAACCAACGTCTCACAGTTCTCTCAACATCTTCATCAGAAGCATAATGATGTCTCCGAAGATCTTTTCATTATCGGGAACAGATAGAAGTCAGACGGTACTAAATCTGGACTGTATAGAGGATGTCATATGGTGGAGAGATCCAGTCTCTGAAGTTTCAAGTCTTTGCACTTTCATTTCAGGCGTCAGCATTCTGGGCAAAGCAATAATGTGATCCACACATTCTTGTGAAATGCCAATGATGCTTGAAATTTCTCTCTGAGTGATACGACAATCATCCTGAATCAATCTGTCAGTCTTTTGCTTGCGAAACTCAGTGGTTGCTGTCACAGGACGTCTAACACTTTGTTCATCATGCAAGTCAGATGTTCCCACCTCAACATCTTTAAACTTACTCACCCAACGACGCACAGTACTGACATCAACACAATCACCATAAACAGCTTGCATTCTCTGATTAATCTCCTTTGGGGGTGACACCTTCTGCTGTCAAGAATTCAATGACTGCACGTTGCTTAAGTCACACTGACCGACCATCTGCGCAGGCTTCCATACTTCACACGTTAACAACACAACCGTTCAATGCTAAGGCTTCTCGTCAAAATGGAACTGTAGAGGAGAGTCTACTGAACAAGCCAGTACCTGRCGCATACCAGTACTGCTATCTGTTGAGGAGTTACGAAGATGGAGGCATTAGTTTTCATTCAACCCTCGTAACATTGAGTGGGACTGGGTCCCCCACAAATGAGCACAATTCCTTCTCTGTACAGAGCTTTTCTGAGGCCAGAACATTGCTTTTTATTATTAAGGCCTCTTCCTCCACATTTTTCTCTTACTTATTAGTGTCAGTAATAGTCATTACAYTGGCAAACGTATCTTGCCCAGAAAATAAACTAAAAATCCAAAATCCAAAACACTTTTGTTCCCAAGCACTGTGTGTCCTATCTATCTATCTATCTATCTATCTATKTATKTATKTATKTATCTATCTATCTATCTATCTATCGGGAGAGAGAGAACTTATTTASATGCAGTGTGCTCATCTCCATTTTGAAGCCGAAGAGCCGGCGTTGTCCGTAAACGCCTCCAAGGTCATGTGGCCAGCATGACTGCATGGAGCGTCGTACATTCCTGCAGAAGCAGTACCTATTGATCTGCTCTCATTTGCATGTTTTCGAACTGCTCGGTTGGCGGAAGCTGGGCCTAACAGCAGGAGCTCACCCCGCTTCACGGATTCGAACCACCAACCTTTTGGTCAGCAAGTTCTGCAGCTCAGCAGTTTAACCCGCTGCACTTTTATTTGTCGTGTCAAAGCAGCCTGTCCATTATATTACATTTCTAACAGAACAAAGCAAACAAACAGAAAAATACACAACTTGTGAGTTTGGTAGCTGGTTAAATGTCCTTTGACCAGTATCTGGCCACTTGGAGTGCTTTCGGTGTTGCTGCAAGAAGGTCCTCCACTGTGCATGTGGCAGGGCTCAGGTTGCATTGCAGCAGGTGGTCAGTGGTTTGCTCTTCTCCACACTCGCATGTCGAGGATTCTACTTTGCAGCCCCATTTCTGAAGGTTGGCTCTGCATCTTGTGGTGCCAGAGCGCAGTCTGTTCAGTGCCTTCCAAGTCGCCCAGTCTTCTGTGTGCCCAGGAGGGAGTCTCTCATTTGGTATCAGCCATTGGTTGAGGTGCTGGGTTTGAGCCTGCCACTTTTGGACTCTCGCTTGCTGAGGTGTTCCAGCGAGTGTCTCTGTAGATCTTAGAAAACTATGTCTAGATTTAAGTCGTTGGCGTGCTGGCTGATACCCAAACAGGGGATGAGCTGGAGATGTCTCTGCCTTGGTCCTTTTCCACCACCCGCTGCACTACTAGAGGCTATTATTTAATATATTAGTATTATATAGCAATATTATGATTCTATATTATTTTGTACTATACTATACTATACAGCAATATTATTAGTAATTATATTATATATGTAATATATAATACACAATTATTATATTGCACTATATTATTATACTCACAATGAAAAACATTACAACTTAAAATATACCAATATGCCTTAATAAAACAGTATGATCATTAGGGTTGGCTCAAAAGCACTCTGCGTATGCACAGAGGCACTCTGGCGGCCTCCCACCTGCCGGGGCCCAGTCAGGGTGCCGTCCACGTCGAAGAGGCAGAGCTCCCGCCTGCCGTCGCTGCCCTCCATGGCCGCCTGGCAAGAGAGAGAGAGACACACATACATAGACACCTTTTCCTTTTCCTGCTGCCCCTTTAAGGCCGGAAGACTACAGTTCCCGGCAGGCACCGCGCCCAGGAAGCCCCGCGCCGCACTCGGAGCCTGGCCCGAAGAGGGGCAAGAAGCGGCCTCCGTGCCTCTGCCACCGACTTCATGGTAATCCTCTTGCGGAGCGGAGTCCCCCGGGGCCTGGAGGCTAGAAACCCCACCAGGCCCCACCAGGAGGGATTGTGGGAGTTGTAGTCCGGAACACCTGGAGGGCAAGCCTAACCTGGCTCCTGCCAAGGAAGTGGACTGGGGAGGATGCAGAAGGCAAGCAAGGCCCTGCCCTCTCTCCCTCCCTATCATTCTGGAGAGATCTATCTGTCTATATCTATTTATTTGTCTATTTATATCTATCAATCTGTCTAAAGTTCTATATCTCTATTTATACCTACTTAAAGTTCTGACCACTTATACCTACTTATACCTACTTAAAGAACTGACCACGGAACAACAGACTGGTTCAAGATTGGGAAAGGCGTACGGCAAGGCTGCATCCTCTCACCCAACCTTTTTAACTTGTATGCAGAACACATCATGCGAGGTGCGGGGCTTGATGAATGCAAAGCTGGGGTGAAAATTGCTGGAAGAAACATTAACAACCTCAGATATGCAGATGACACCACTCTGATGGCCGAAAGCGAGGAGGAGCTGAGGAGCCTTCTAATGAAGGTGAAAGAAGAAAGCGCAAAAGCTGGGTTGCAGCTAAACATCAAAAAAACCAAGATTATGGCAACAAGAATGATTGACAACTGGGAAATAGAGGGAGAAAATGTGGAGGCCGTGACAGACTTTGTATTTCTAGTCGCAAAGATTACTGCAGATGCAGACTGTGGCCAGGAAATCAGAAGACGCTTACTTCTTGGGAGGAGAGCAATGTCCAGTCTCGATAAAATAGTAAAGAGTAGAGACATCAGACTGGCAACAAAGATCCGCCTAGTCAAAGCCATGGTATTCCCTGTAGTAACCTACGGATGTGAGAGCTGGACCTTAGGGAAGGCTGAGCGAAGGAAGATCGATGCTTTTGAGCTGTGGTGCTGGAGGAAAGTTCTGAGAGTGCCTTGGACTACGAGAAGATCCAACCAGTCCATCCTCCAGGAAATAAAGCCCGGACTGCTCACTGGAGGGAAGAATACTAGAGACAAAGTTGAAGTACTTTGGCCACATCATGAGGAGACAGCAAAGCCTGGAGAAGACAATTATGCTGGGGAAAGTGGAAGGCAAAAGGAAGAGGGGCCGACCAAGGGCAAGATGGATGGATGGCATCCTTGAAGCGACTGGACTGACCTTGAAGGAGCTGGGGGTGGTGACGGCCGACAGGGAGCTCTGGCGTGGGCTGGTCCATGAGGTCACGAAGAGTCGGAGACGACTGAACGAATGAACAACAACAACATCTATCAATCTGTCTAAAGTTCTATATCTCTATTTATACCTACTTAAAGTTCTTTCGTTATATTTAAAGATCTCTGTCTAAATATCTGTCGATTTAAAGATAGATTATTATGGATTATTATATTGTACTATATTATTATACTCACAATGAAAAACATTACAACTTAAAATATACAAATATGCAATAATAAAACAGTATTGCCATTAGGGTTGACTCAAAAGCACTCTGCGTATTGAGCGACTAAAATGATAAAAGGTCTGGAGAACAAGCCCTATGAGGAGCGGCTTAAGGAGCTGGGGATGTTTAGCCTGAAGAAGAGAAGGCTGAGAGGGGATATGATAGCCATGTATAAATATGTGAGAGGAAGCCACAGGGAGGAGGGAGCAAGCTTGTTTTCTGCTTCCCTGGAGACTAGGACGCAGAACAATAGCTTCAAACTACAAGAGAGAAGATTCCATCTGAACATGAGGAAGAACTTCCTGACTGTGAGAGCCGTTCAGCAGTGGAACTCTCTGCCCCGGAGTGTGGTGGAGGCTCCTTCTTTGGAAGCTTTTAAACAGGCCGGATGGCCATCTGTCAGGGGTGATTTGAATGCAATATTCCTGCTTCTTGGCAGGGGGTTGGACTGGATGGCCCATGAGGTCTCTTCCAACTCTTTGATTCTATGATTCTATGCACAGATATTCATCTAAACAAAGATATTTATCTATCTAAAGATATCTGCCTATATCTATTTGTTGGAGCCCCCTGTGCCGGCAGGACTGAAGACCCACAGGTTGCAGGTTCGAATCCGGGGAGAGGCAGATGAGCTCCCTCTATCAGCTCCAGCTCCTCATGCGGGGACATGAGAGAAGCCTCCCACAAGGATGATTAAAAACAAACAAACAAACAAACATCAAATCATCCAGGTGTTTCCTAGGCAACGTCCTTGCAGACGGCCAATTCTTTCACACCAGAAGTGACTTGCAGTTTCTCAAGTCACTCCTGACATGACAAAAAAACCCAAAAACTATTTGTTTGTCTCTATCTATAATCTATCTAAAGATCTATATCTATTTAAAGATGGCTCTATCTATCCATCTATATATAAATAAAAATGTAATGTTAGTTTGTGGGATTAACATAACTCAAAAACCACTGAACGAATTGACACGAAATTTGGACACAATACACCTAACAGTCCAACAAGTGTCCATCACCCCTAACACACACACACACCCAGTGAAACAGACTTAAAACCCCCCAAAATACACCATATATACATATACACATACACTCATATACAATTACTCATGCACACATTCATACACACACACAGAGATGTGTGTGTATATGCACAAACACACACATATATACACATATATACATATACATACACACATATATACATATACATACACACATATATACATATACACATGCACACACATACATACACACACAAATACACAAATATATACAAACACCTAAATACATATATACACACACAAAACACATACACACAGACTGGGTCACAGCAATGCATGACAGGGGACAGCCAGTCTATCTATAGATATGTATCTTAAGCTATCTATCAATCTATCTAAGGATATCTCTGTATATCTATTTATCTCTATAATCTATCTAAAGATCTGTATCTATTTAAAGATCACTATATGTATCTGTCTAAAGCTATCTACCTAAATAAAGATATTTATATGTATCTATCTAAAGATCTATATCTATTTAAAGATGGCTATATCTGTCTGAATAATGATACCTCTCTATATCTATTTGTTTTTCTCTGTCTATTTGTAATCTATCTAAAGATACCTCTCTTTATCTATTTATCTAAAAATCTGTATCTATTTAAAGATCGCCATCCCTGTCCATCGATATCTAAATAAAGATATCTGTCTAAAATATGTATCTTATCTTACCTATCTATGTTTTTGTGTCTTATTTATCTAATCTATCTCTAAAGCTATATATCTGTCAACATCTGTCTGTCTATGGACTGCAGCTGGTTTTGGATGCAGAAGCAAGCTACATATATCTCCTCTTTGTTTATCTTTCTATCTGGATGCCAGTTGGTTCATCTATATATTATTTATTTATTTATTTATTTACGACATTTATATGCCGCCCTTCTCACCCTGAAGGGGACTCAGAGCGGCTTTCAAGATACACACACACACACACACACACACACAATATATTATATTGTTAGCATAGTACAATATCAATATTATAATTACTATATTGTACTATACCATTATATTGTAATATTATTAGTAATATTACATGTAATATAAATATATATAATTATAATATTGTATTATTATTAGTAGTATTATATTTTATTACATTATAATATTATAAATATTATATGTATATACAATATATTATATTATATTTAGCTGGATGGAAGGAGGGGAGACCAATGTGGTCGGACCTTACTTGCTGCCTGCATCCCAAACCACCTGCCGTTTGCATCCCGAACCCCAATTGCAGTGCAGTTATGTTGTTAAATTTGTGCCCAATCTGTCATTAGCCACCTTGAGGCCCTATACTAGGAGAAAGGCAGGATGAAAAGAAAAGTAAGTAAATAAATAAATGCTCTTGGGCTCCCCAAGGCCTTTGGATGCTGGGGATTATAGTCTGGTAGAGCCACATCTTGAAGTACAAAGGGGCATTGGCTTGATGCTTTTCAGAAAAAGGGTTCGGTGGTTGAATGTAGCAAATCCTAGTATGAAAGAATGTATAGTTTAATACAGAAATGTATGTTTGTTTTTCCAGGCTGGGATCCTTGCCATCCGCTTTCCCTTGTTCTCGTGCTGTAGGAGATGTCGGCCAAGCAAATTGAATATGCAGAGCTTCAAGGAAGATTGGGTTCTGCTCCGTTCCTTCCGGAAACCAACAGTCCCATTTCAATGCCTCAGCGTTTCATCTCACACTCAAAAGGAGACCTCAATCTCCAAACATTCAGATCAGTTCCGGCTGATTTACAGGTTCCCCGGGATCCATTTTTGCCGGATTCTGTCAAGGCTGAAACTGCTGCAGACGTCGCTCACTGTCCTGCTTCTCCCTCCAATCTGGGTCCTTTACTGGCAAAACCAAGTCCCGCAGAGCCAGTGCCTCTACTGCACTGGCATCGCTTGCTTTGCTGCCGCCATGCTTTACGGCATGAGCTTCTACCTCCGGCGGATTGTCGGCATGATGTACCTGAATGGGGATGACACGCTACTAAAGGTCTCACACTTGACCTTCTGGGGCAAGAGGAAGGACATCTACTGCCCAGTGGAAATGGTGATGACTTTGGGGGATGTCGGTGAAAACCGGAACGACCTGCTACTGAAGTTCCAGCAGTACAACCAAGATCCGTTTCTGTATTTTTCCCTCCGCTTCGGGAACATTGTGGACCCAAAAGGGTTTGCAAAAGTGTTTGGAGAACTTGGGTGATGTTTTTTAGACATTTACTACAGGACTTTAAAAAAATTATAATTCAATAATGATTTGATCTAATATTTGCTTTGTAATAAATAGGCCCCATTTCTTTCTGGATATTGATTTAGAGATTTCTCCTTCATCAGCTTTACGAGTTGGTCCATTTTCGTTCATTCACACATCTTCGTAATTTTTTCCGTCTTTGAACATAGATAAATCTGGTTGCAATAGTTATATACTGTATTTATTCAAGTCTAATGTGCCATTGAATAAGTACCTAAATTTTCAAACTCCCAAAACAAAAACAAAAAGATTTTCTGACGAATGTCATGCACGGCAACAAGAAGTGCACTTTGTCATTTGTCCGTATTACAGTTGCTGCCTACTTAGGATTCCTTCTTTGGAAACAAAAGTGTCAGAACACCAAAGCTTCCAGCGATGGAAAGGAAAACCTTGGGTTGCATCTACGCCATAGAACAAATCCACTTGAATTGTCTTGGTTCAATGCTATGGAGTCATAGGAGCTGTCGTTTCACAAGGTCTTGAGCCTTTTTTTGCCAAAGAATGCTGATGCTTCACCAAAGGACAAATCCCAGGATCACATAGCATTGAGACATAGCCATTAAATTAGAGATGAAGTTCCTTAAAGAGGCTCCTGAAGCAGCTTCCCTTTTTGCTTTGACTCAGCACCATATGACACAAATCTAATGCTCACCCTAATATTGGCAAGGTAATTTAGCCAAAAAAAGGTGAGCATTAGACTCGAGTTAAGTAGGTGAGCTCTTGCTGTTAGGCCCAGCTTCTGCCAATCTAGCCGTTCGAAAACATGCAAATGAGAGCAGATCAATAGGTACTGCTTCTGCAGGAATGTAACAACACTCCATGCAGTCATGCTGGCCACATGACCATGGAGGTGTCTATGGACAATGCCGGCTCTTCGGCTTAGAGATGAGCACCACCACTTTAGATGCGGTTTGGTTATTTGGGGTGCTGATTCAGAAAATTGCATTGGATAGACCACATTAGCTCTAGTTTCTGATACAGAACCAATGCCATCCAGTAGTCACAATTGGCTCTTCCACAGAAAACCATATGTAATAATCCACAGCTGATGTTGTCTATCCAATAGTTTTCTGAATCGGCACCACAAATAACCCCAGGCCTAAAAATGAAGACACCAAGGTACCCCTCCTTCCAGGCGCCACATGGAATGGCTCTGCTTGGGGAGGGAGGAGAAGCATCAGTCAAGAGGCTTGTTGTCACACATTTCATGGGTAGTCATCCTCTCCCCTCCTGTCATCCCCGTTGTATCGGCACTATAAGAGGGTTTCACAAGACCAGTCACTCTCGTTGCAACGATGTAGTAATGGTGAGGCCGCGGACCATATTTTAGTTCATAGGGACCACTGGTGGTCCACAGACCACAGGTTGGGAACCACTGTTCTAGAATAAGATGTTTATTTTACCCAATTATTACATAGGATAAAATCATATTTGGGATGTGATCTTGCAAATTTGGAACTGCGTTGATTTATGGGAACGTTCAAGACCAAAGTGGAGTATGAAATAAGCCATGTGTCGAAAGAGTGCTGACAGATTTATGTACCTTTTAAAGTCCAGGTCCAACACTCAAACCACTATACTACACTGATTCCTATTAACATGATGAAAAGAACTGGAGACGTTCCATTATAAATATTTTATTTTTAAGAATACTGATTAACACAGGAAATGCATTTCATGGCTACTGGTTAACGTCTAGAAGTGCAGTTACGGAACTGGTTTACGCATGGATTTGGCACAGTTGACAAAGAGGCTGTAAACAAGTTATTACTTTTTTAAATAGGTCAGCGTACACTGTAGATTAAGAGCATCTACCTTGGTCTGACTGTTGTTAGGTGGTGCATACAAGTTCACAGTTAAAAGAGGGCTCCATAGAAATCGGCTTTGAAACCCTGGGATGTGCTGAAGAAGAGTTTATAATCAGTAAAACAAGAATGTGGTCCAAAGTAACAAGTTTGGGGAATAGGACAAAAATACGAGGCTTGCAAGAGATGCTACACTGATATGTTGAACTAAATCCCTACTCTCTGCCCATCAGCAATAAATTCTGGATTCTTTCCCAAAAGAAGAAATCAAAGGCAAGCCTTCAATGCAAAGGAGACTGTTGTGTATCTTCGAGTCATTTTCAACTTATTATGGCAACCCTACTGCAAGGTTTTCTTAGCATTGTCTGTCTTTCTTCTGAGGCTGAGAGACCCATAGTCAACTAGTGGGTTTCAAGTTGTTATTCAAAACCTGTTTTCCAAATTCATAGTCAGATGCTCAAATGACTACACCCTATTGGCTCATACAAGAGATTCTTTCTGGAAAGAACCAAGCAGGCAAGAAATCCCTTGTCTCCTATGAGCAGAGCTTCAAAACATTTTGGAAAAGTACGTTTTTCTAAACTGCTTCTTGGAGAGTGTTATGGAAGTACTGATAGAGAAGGCTTGGTCACTAGAGCAGTGGCTGACTTGAGAAATCTAGAACTTTTGAGTACGTTTCATACACACACACACACGCCTAGCTCAGCTTGGATGACAGACATTTGGACATTCCYGATTGTAGCAAATGAGGTATAGAATAGAAGGAAAAGGAGGAGGAATACTTGGTTTGTTGAGTTAATGAATTGAAGTACAGTGTTCCCTCACTTATTGTGGGGGTTCCGTTCTAGGACCACCCYTGATAAGTGAAAATACGCGAAGTAGGGACACCATATTAATTTTAATATTTATATATTACTTTATATATTTTATATATTATTTTCTTACCCGCGCTTCCTTACCCACCTCCTGGTCCATCCCAAGGTCACCTGCCTGCCTCCCTGGCCTCTGCAGCACCTCCGGAGCCACACAGACAGCAGCAGGCCAGGGAGGCAGGCTTTCCCCGCTGTGCCTCAGGCCGCCGCACTTCTGGGTCCCTGGCCTCCCTTGGACGTAAATATTTAAGATTTAATATTTTTTATTAATATTTTCAAAAACTTGCGAAATAGRGAGTCCGTTAAAAACAAACAACAAAGAAGCGAGGGAACACTGTACTTCCTTCTGCATGCCTGGTTCTGTTGCAAAGCCTGGTAAAATGTCCTTTTTGGACTATGACTCCCCAGAATGCCCTAGCCAGCATGGATATCTGAAATGGTTGCAGTCTAAAAAGTAAATTTCTACAAGCTGGTATAGCAGTTTGAGTTAGACTGTGGAGACCAGGATAAATCTCTGCTCAGTCATGAAATCCCAATGGGTGGCCTTGGACAGGTCACACACTCTCAGCCCCAGAAAACTCAATGATGGGGTTGCCATGGACCAGAAATGCCTTGGAAGACACACAGCATCAAAAATGTGAGGCTCTTTTCATATCTATATCCCTAAAAGAGGTTTTTGGGGAAAGATGTTTTGTCTGCTTTCCACTTCAGCCTGCAAGGAGTTGGGTGGGGAATAAAAGGCACAATATAGAAGAGAACAAAATGCTACTTTTGGTCCTGTCTGCTTTGCGAGCTGCAAGCTTCGTCTCTGCTAGGAAAGCAATTTAACTGAGGGACAGAACTGAATGGAAGATCCCTTGAAACAGCTTTCACTTCTGCAAAGTCACAAATACCTTCTGCTTAGCAGATGCAACCTGGCTGGGAAGAAAAATGTCAAAAAACCACAAGCTTGGCTGCTGCAGCTGCTTTGAAAATTATCAGGATTTAGACCTTCTTTGCTCTGGCACAAAACGAGAGTTGGGCCAGGTCTGCAGAAGCAGCAATAGCAGTCACAAAAATACAGTAATCTAGAGAGTAGAAAAGTGATCTCTTGCTGGGAGTTTCTAGGAACCTTTGTCCAAAAAACTTTGTGGAACTTGTTGTTGACATTTTACTAAGTGATACCTTTCATGCTGGAAGGTGGCACCTCCATGGCAGGGCTTCTTCTTTCAATTCCCCAAACAACTGGCTTGAAAAATAGTATTTGTGATGCTCATAAACAACTTAATGAGTTGACCGTTCCATCCCTCAGAATGGGATGTGCCCAAGGCTGTCCACAGCGCTTTGAGGAACATGTAACTCTCCCATTTCTGCCCACTTCTCGTGATTCTAGTCGTTTTGGACTACAACTCCCATCTGCCTTGGATCGGTTCAGTGGGGACATGAGACCCTTGAGATTATGAAAATGTGACCGAATCCCTGTTTTCCTGAGCCCTACAGTTTCTAATCTTGGGTATAGGAATGAACTCAGCCTATACAGAGCCTCCCTCACAGTGGCTCCAAAAACTTTAAAAAAAATAAATTTAATGTTTCTGATGCAGATACGTCAACAGGAGAACTCAAGGGAGAAACAGTTGCTTAAATGCAAAATTATGGTTGCTGTGGGCTGTGTATGTATGCACACAAATGTAGGAAAAGAGCTGCTCTGTGTGCATTCGCGACTACACAAGGGTCCCAGGTCAGTGGCAGTTTGTGCACAATTTCTGAAGCGTTGCTACAATCTTAAGGACTAGAAACTTGACACGGAAAGGTTTTGGGTGCATTCGAGATTGGAGTGAAACACCCGCATCGAAATATGGCATGCATCAGCTTGGAGGAGATGAACAGCCACAGAATTCGTCCCTAGAGTTTCCAAATCGGGTATTCAGAATCCTTGCAAGAAATTCCGAAAGCATCCCGAAATTTTGGCCGAAGACTTGGTGATAAGCATTGAAAAATAAATGTAAAAAAAAAAAAAGACTTCATGGATTCAGTTTTTTTCTTCTATTAGTGAAAATATATATATAATATATATATTTATGATTTTAAATAAACTATTCTCAGACTCTTATAGGATTTGGGTTTTGTTTGCTTGTTGTTTGTTTTTCTTTCTCTCTCAGTGCAAAGTAAGGCTTGGCTACTTGAAGTCGGCCAAAATGTCGCTGAAGATGTTGAGGAAGAGGTGGGCGTGATGGTCGCGGAAGACTAGGGTGGGCCGGAAACGGATGGATCGGTCACCGCTGCCTCCCAGCACCACACCTGTGGGGAAAAAAAACCACGTTAGTCATGGGAAATGCATGGTAGGGAAGCCAAACTGGAGTTTGCCCTAAAACTGTGAAAACAGATGCAGGGTGAGTGACACCTGGCTTGAAAACAGTCTGATGTGAAAGGGATTTAGAAATCTTAGTGGACCACAAGCTGAACATGAGCCAGGACTGTGATCCTAGCCTGAATCAATAGGAGTCTAGTGACTAGATCAAGGGAAATCAAAGTCCCACTCTATTTTGCTTTATTCCTCACCGGGAATAATAACCCTGCATCTAGTTCTGGGTAGAACAATTCAAGAATGAGATTGACAACATATCCAGAGAAGGGTGACCACAATGTTCAAAGATTTGGAAGTCGAGCCTACCAAAAAACGGGAGCTGGGAATGTTTAGCTTGGAGAAAAGAAACCAAAGAGAAGAGGATATGGGAGCCATGTTGAAATATTTGAAAGGAGGCCAAATTGAGGAGAGGACCAGCTTGTTCCTTGTTGCTCTAGAGACTAAGGCACAAAGGAGCAAATGGATTCAAATTGCAGGAAATACTCCACCTGAACATGAGGGAGAACTCCCTGATTCCAGACATGAAACAATCAAGGCCAACTATCACCTCCTAACAAAGGATTCCCCCAGGCAGGAAGCAGCCAGGCTTTGAAGCTGCAAGGCCATTCAGTGCTAATCAAGGTAGCCAATTGCAACATTAACACCTGCTTCAAGCAGACAAGAGTTCTTTCTCCTACCCTAGACATTATTCCACAGATATACAAACCTCACTTTCCCAATTTCCAACAGACCTCATAACCTCTGAGGATGCCTGCCATAGATGTGGGTGAAACGTCAGGAGAGAATGCTTCTGGTACATGGCTATACAGCCTGGAAAACTCACAGCAACTCTCTGATAGTCAGAACCATTCAACATTAAACTATGCTGCTGTCGGTGGAGTCTCCTCCTCCAGAGGTTTTAGAGCAGAGGCTGGATGGCCATCTGTCTGGAGTGCTTTGATTGTGGGTTCCTGCCTGGTAGAAGGGGGTTGGACTGGATGGCTTTTCAGGTCTTATCCAACTAAATGATTCTAAACCAGAGGTTACTTTATTAGACATAGCGTGATGATGTTTTTTAAGCAGAAACTGATGGCCATCTGTCTGGAGTGCTTTGAATGTGCCTTCCCACCTTCCTACATGTCCCTTGGGGTCCCTTCCAACTCTAAGATTGTATGAGGTACCAAGAAGATGAAAGTCAAAAGAGGGCCATTGATAGGAATGAGATGAACTGGTTCTTATCCCAAATCTGCAAAACCATCTATCAAGGGATAAGAATTGTGTGATCTTGCCCATTTCAGGACAGTTCTGGCCCTCATAACCCAGACTTCGACCTGAATTGTTTGGTCACATCTGTACTGTGAAGTGAATGCAGTTTGCCATCTTTTTGATTGCATTGCCCATTGTGTTCAATTTTATGTCAATTTGCTTTATTTTATTTTGCTACTGTATGTATTTTATTCTGATGTAATTTTGTTGTCTGCATTTTGTATTTTATTTTGCTTTACTGGATCTTTGGGATTGGCCTCATGTTAGCACCCCGAATCCCCCTCGGGGAGATGGTGGCGGGGTATAAATAAAGATTATTATTATTATTATTATTATTATTGACTCAATCCAATACAATCTTGGGAGTTGTACTTTGGAAAACTATTTGACAGAGAAAGCAGCTTACACTCTTGTCAAATGACAACTCCCATGAATCCATAGCACTGAGCTGTGACAGTTAAAGTGCCGAACTGCAGTGTAGATGCACCCATGGAGATGAATGCATCTCTGTAAATGATAGAGCCTCACCTTTGTTTCTGGCTATTGCAATGAGCTTGTTCCTAATGGCATCATTTGGAGTATCGAACGAACAGAATGTCCCTCGTCCTCGTGCCCGGCTGATCAGGTGCGGGTAGCGACTCTATAGGGAGAAAAGAGGATCTTAAACCCAATAGGAATCTCGGCTTTGCTTTTAACATAGAGGTCACGATTGTACACCATCTTCCCCTAGAAAAATGATGGTGCCCCCATAGAAAACAAAGCAAGACCTAGGTTGCTATATCATACGTCTTGAGGAAAGTCCTGGAGATATTAGACTCAGATACATTTGATGTTGGGAGGTACTGGGTGCATCTACACTGCAGAATTAATGCAGTTTTGGCACCACTGGGAATCTGGGGAGTTGTAGTTTGGTGGGGTACCATCACTCCTTGGCAGAGAAGGCTAAAAATCTTGCGAAACTACAACTTCTATGATTCTGCAGCATTGAGCTGTGGTGGATAAAGTGGTCCTAGACTGTGTTATTTCTATAGTGTAGTAAGATGTGTTGGGTGAGTGGGCTTAATAACAAAAGACCCTCCTCATAAATGTAGTAACTTAGCAGCAGCAGTGTGACCCAGCACAAGTAGCCAAAAGTGATAAAAAGAACAAAAACACACAAACCAATGTTATCTCTCCCATAGGAGGCTTTTCTTTGTAGTTAAATAATATGGTTGCACTATTTACAAGAACAAGGTTTCCATAACACAAGTAAAATTCTTTATACTTCCTTATTTGCTTCCATGCTGGACTTCTTTCTCATGCAGATAACCAGCTCCACTCTCACAGAGCCTCTTCTCGCACCAAACTTACACAGGAGCTTCACACAGTAGCTTTACACATAAGGCCTTCAACCTGGGGCTTCTCACACCAGGTCTTCTCATATTGACTTTCTCACACAGAGGGCTCTCTCAAACCGACGCCTTTCTTCCACTGAGGCGAACTCACACTGAGGCCTTCTCAGCTTTATACACACTGCTGCATTTACACATGATGACCTTCAACCTGGGGCTTCTTTCACCAAAGCCTTTCACACCAGGCTATCCTCACACTGAGGCCTACTCCTACTGAGGCCTACTAATATTGGAGCCTTCTCATACTGAGGCCTCTTACACTGAGACCTCTTTCTCACTGAGGTGTTCTCATAATAAGGATATTAGATCAGCCCCCTCCCTCCTGACTTTCTGAAAAAAAGTAAAAACATGAAACTATGAAAGAGTGAAACATGGAATGGCTTAGACGATGCTACTGGAAAATGAGATTAAGAGAAAGACATTGGTGATTATATGTTTTTAACAGTTTTGTATGGATTTTTATAATGTTGTTATAAATGTTTTGAATTGTATTTATGACTATTCTGGCATCGAATTATTCCCAAATTGTAAGCCACCTTGAGTCGCCTTCAGGCTGAGAAAGGTGGGATAGAAATATTGTAAATAAATAAATAAAGAACATACTGATGCAAACGAACACTAAGGTTTACCTCACACTGAGGCCTCTCTCAGACTGAAGTCTCTTCATACTGAGGGCAACTTACACTGAGGTGTACGAAGCTACATTCTGCTCTTATTGAACTGCAGCTTTTTCTGAGTCCTTGCATCCATTTAACCCTTCAGTGCTTGACTCACATTTTTGTAATTAAAAATACCTAGTTAATTTTAAATATTTCTAATATGATGCACCCAAGGTGGCTCTACCATACTAGAGGAAAACCCTGGATAAGCCTCGCTGCTGACGTACCTGTAAATCCAACAGCCCAGCAAGCAGGACCTTGCCCGCATGAGTTGCGTTGTTCAGCAAGTCTTCCCTTTTGATGACATTAATGACTTCTGCAAGGAGCAGGTTCTTGGAGGGGTCCCCGAGCCACGTGTTGAAAATCCGATAGGGCTGCAAAAAAAAAAAAAAAAAAGTAAGTAGGAATTCAAAGGAACGATCCATACCACCATTTTTATTTCCCCCTCTTTTTAAATTCCCTTCATTTGTTCCATTCCAAGAGACCTAAGGTGCATCTACACAGGAGAACAGTTGCAGTTTGACCCCACCTGAACTGCCATGGCTCAATGCAACGAGATCTGGGGAGTTGTCGTTTGATGAGGCACCAGCCCTCTTGGAAACAGAAAGCTCAAGTCTTTGTGGAACTACAGCTCCCATCATTCCATAGCATGGAACCATGGCTGATCAAGTGGTGTCAACTCTACAGTGCAGATGCACCCTGCGATGCTGATATACTGGGTTATGATCTTATCATTCTAATTATTATTACTATTATTATTATTATTATTATTATTATTATTATGTGCCTATGACGGCATGCTGATCAAATTTGCAGATGACATCAAATTAGGAGGGATAGCAAATAATATACTCTAAAAGACTGGATCAGAATCCAAAATGCCCCTGACAGATTAGAGAGCTAATTGGCCAGAATTAATTTTTAAAAAGATGTCTACAAGGAGAAATGTACAAAATGATACTTAGGTGATAAATATTTATTTATTTACAACATTTATATCCCACCCTTCTCACCCCAAAGAGGCCTCAGAGCGGCTTACAAGTTATATGTACATACAATATTACATATTATTAGCATAGAGCAATATTAGTCTTATATATTACTATATTGTACTATAGCACTATATTGTAATATTATTAATGATATTAGATATGATATAACATATATAATTATACTGTATTATTATAATATTATTATCAATATTATATGGTTATATAATATATTATATCTTTAACACAATATGAAATGCACAGTTGCACCTGACTTGAAACCAGTCTATGTGAAAGGGATCTAGGAGTCTTGGTAGACCACAAGTAGACCAGAGGACCAATGTAATCCTTGGCTGCATCAACAGCAGTCCAGTGTTTAGGTGGAGGAAGTCATCATCCCACTCTATTCTGATTTGGTTAGACCTCACCTGGAATAATAACCCTGTGCCCAGTTCTGAGCATCATAATTTGAGAAGGAGAGGGACCAGTGGAAGGGGTCCAGAGAAAGGAGACCAACATGATCAAAGTTTGGATGCCAAACCCTAAGAGGAATGGCTGAGATAGCTGGGGATGTTTAGTTTATAGACAGGAAGACTGAGAAAAGGAGATATGAGAACCAGGTTTAAATATCTGAAAGGATGTCATACTGAAGAAGGGGGAAGCTTGGCTTCTGCTGCTCCAGAGATTGAGACATGATGGAGCAATGGATTCAAATTGCAGAAGAAGAGATTCCCCCTAAACATTCAAAAGAACTTCCTCATCATAGTCAGAGCTGTTCAGCAGAGAAATATACTGTTCTGGAGTGGAGTCTCCGTCTCTGGCAGTTTTTCAGCAGAGGCTGGATGGTCATCTGTTGGGAGGGTTTGGATTGTGTCTTCCTGCCTGGAAGGGGAGGACTGGACTGGATAATCTTTGGAGTCCCTTCAAACTCAATGGGATATGGACTGTGGGGGATCAATGGTGTTCAATGGTAGGATATGCTACCACTTTGGGAGTCGGGTGGAGATTTCTTCTCTGGAGGGCTTTAAGCAGAGGCTGGATGGCCATCTGTCAGGAGTGCTCTGATATGTTCATTCCTGCATGGCTGAATGGAACGCCTTTGCAGTCTCTTCCAAGACTGAGAATGAATCCAGCTCTTGTCACAGGAAAGGCATTGAGGCCCTTCAGGGCAAGTCTATAGACTTCTATTCAAAGACTTACAGCGTTAGCGCGGAATTCCTCCTTGTGGAAAAACCCTCCGGTCATCATCTTCTTGCTGAAGGATAGCACGTCTGCGGGGTCATCAAGGCCCCAATGCTCATGGGCCCAGAACTTGCCTGTGCACCCGCCTCCCGTCTGCACCTCGTCCACCAGGAAACCGCATCCATGCTGTTTTTTTTTTAAAAAAAATTAAGCAAAGTTAGATCAACTTTGTGAAAGTAACCAGGACACATCTCAGCCCTTTTCCCCTTGTAATGTATGTGAGAGAAATACGGGGTGCAAATAATGGGGAGATCCAATTTCGAGTTCCGTTTCAGTACAGAGCCCTAAGAGAGTCATAAACACTAATAGAAAATGGGAAGCAGCAGAAGACATCTTACCATCTCTACTGGGTAAAAGGTGGGGTATCATTTAAAAATTGCCAAATTCAAAGGCATAGGCTCTAAGTATCTGGTCTGAGGAATCCCTCCATAAAAACTGCCAGCTTGATCAACACTGAATGGCCTTGGAGCTTCAAAGCCTGGCTGCTTCCTGCCTGGGGGAAATCCTTTGTTGGGAGGTGTTAGCTGAAACAATCAGGTCCAGTTAACACCTCTCAACAAAGGATTCCCCCAGGCAGGAACCAGCCAGGCTTTGAAGCTGCAAGGCCATTCAAATCAAGAAATAGTTTTCTGAGATACTCGCAGGAACACCTCAGCAAGTGTCCAAAAGTGGCAGGCCAAAACCTGGAATCTCAACCCATGGCTGATACCAAATAAGAGACTCCGTCCTGGGCACACAGAAGACTGGGCAACTTGGAAGGCGCTGAACAGACTGCGCTCTGGCACCACGAGATGCAGAGCCAACCTCAAGAAATGGGGCCACAAAGTGGAATCCACGACATGTGACTTTGGAGAAGAGCAAGCCACTGACCACCTGCTGCAATGCACCCTGAGCCCTGCCACATGCACAATGGAGGACCTTCTTGCGGCAACACCAGAGGCACTCCAAGTGGCCAGATACTGGTCAAAGAACATTTAATCAATTACCAAGCTTGCAAACTTTGTGGTTTTTTTAATCTGTTTGTTTGTTTTGTTCTGTTAGAAATGTAATACAATGGTCTGGTTGCACCTGACACGATAAATAAAAAAATAAAGGTGGTCAATTGCCACATCCACACTTGCTTCAAACAGACAAGAGTTCTTTCTCTCGCCCTGGACATTATTCCACAGGTATATATACCCCACTTGCCTAGTTTCCAACAAACCTCACAACCTCTGAGGATGCCTGCCATAGATGTGGGTGAAACATCAGGAGATAATGCTTCTGGAACACGGACATGCAGCCCAGAAAACTCACAGCAACCCATGCAATTAATGTTTTAGATATTTATTTTATTTGAAAGGATACTCTGCTCTTCTACCGGAACTTGATTCAAGGCAATTGTGCTCTCCAACAAATAATATAATTTGGCTCCCCTCTTCCCAAAATCCAGGTCTGATTGCTAGAGAGGGAAAGAGTTATGGAAAGCCCAGATTTAAGTCTATTGTTACCCACCTTTCTGGCGATATTCCTCAATTTCCGGAAGAAGTCATCCGAAGCATGGTTGTCCCCACCTTCCGACTGAATGGGCTCCACAATGATGCCGGCCACCACTTTCTTCTTTTTCCGGTATTTCACAATTAGGTCTTCCACCTGCAGGTTACAATATTTGTTTTTTGACAAGCAAGTTGTTTAATTTCTCCCTTTCGTTGCTATCTGATAGGGCAAACAATTAACATTTTAGAGGAAAAATTAAATGGAAAACTTTGGGATTCCTTGTACACAAATAGTGAACATGTGTTATGATACTGGGGAAAAGGTGGATCTGGTTACTGTCTTGCAAAGACCGAATATAAAGTGGATTTCCATGACGAAAGGAATGTAGAAACACATGAATGAATTGCGAGTTGATCCATTCCTGTTAAACATTTTAAAGATCCATTCTTCCACTGTTGGGATTTCAGCCTTTTCCCAGCATTTTGTGTATATTTTATTATTATTATGCAGCACTGGTAACAAGCATTTAACCCCTGGGTATAGCATTCTTGGACCAATTATCATATAGTGTTTTAAAATGGGAGAAAATTGTAAACTTGGATAAATATGTGAATGCATGAACGTATGAAAACAGAGTAATCACTGAGCAAAAATGAACAAACATTTTATCCCCATTATTTGCTGGCATGATAATAAATCTGGTGTTCTCTATCTTGTTTGGGGGTTATAACAGACCTTGACAATGTTCCTTTGTGGATTTCAACTCCCAGCATCCTGTACAGGCTGGTTTGGTGATCCTGGGAGCCAGAGGCCAAAAAAAAGGAACATTTCGAAGCAAGATATGGTTTATGACACATGGTCCCATCCTTCAATGCATCCCACCCTTTCATTCTTTGCTGCCTGGGCGCATCTACACTGAAGAATTAAGACATTATGCCACCACTTTAACTTCCTTGACTGAATGCAATGGAGTTGTAGTTTGGGGAGGAACCAGCATTCTTGGGGACAAAAGGCTAAAGTCCTTGTAAAATTATAAAAAGTAAAGGTTTCCCCTGACATTAAATCGAGTCGTGTCTGACTATGGGAGGTGGTGATCATCTCCATTTCAAAGCCCAAGAACTGGCGTGGTCCATAGACGCCTCCAAGATCATGTGGCTGGCATGGAGTGTTGTTACCTTCCTGCTGGAGCAGCATCTATTGATCTACTCACATCTGCATGTTTTCGAACTGCTAGGTTGGCAGAAGCTGGGGCTAACAGTGGGAGATCACCCACTCCCCAGATTTGAACTTCTGACCTTTCGGTCAGCAAGTTCAGCAGCTCAGTGGTTTAACCCATGGTGCCACCGGGGGCTCCATGTAAAACTCTTATTTATTCAAGAGGAGGAAACCTCAAAGGCCATAAACTTGGTCTAAACAAACTTCCAAACAACGCGACATCCACGAAAGAGAAAAACAAAAGAACGAAAAGAAAGCTGAAATACTGAAGAAGAAATCTCTAAAAAATTGTTATAATAATAGTAATAATAATATGAAGTGATTTTTTAAAAATAGAGAATAAAGCTTCGAAACAAAAAAGTGAACTGAAATGCGTATGTGTAAAATAATTTGAATGGAAGCTTTTTCTGTAATGCTTTGATCATTTTCTTTACTGTAGAATTAACGGAGTTTGAAGTCCCATGGCTCAGTGCACGGAAACTATAGTTTTGAATACAGGCAGTCCCCAAGTTACGAACCAGATAGGTTCTGTAGGTTTGTTCTTAAGTTGAAGAACAGGAACATTTTTAAGTGTAACTCCAGCCCACCTCACTTTCTGTCTCTGTGATAATTAGATTTTCGAAAAGGTGGTTTGTTGTGGAAACAAGGATTGGAGATAAAGCTTCAGTGGAGATCCCTTTTCCCCATGGATAGTAACTCTTGTAGAAGAGAAGAGTTATGGATTTCTCTCACTTCCTGTTCTTAACTAGGAATCGTTTGTAAGTCAGATGTTTGTCACACAGGAACTGTAATAAGAAGTATATGTACCAGGTCGGGGGGGGGGGGGGCGCATCAGGATTTTAGAGATGCTTAGGTGGGGCAGGGCCAAACAAAAGGTTGGGAACCAGGGATCTACTCTATACTTCCCCTTACAATGGAAAATGCTGCCAGTCAAAGGCTCACCTCTTCCAAACAGCGGGCCTCCTCCTGTTCATTTTCCTTCCCAAACTCCTCCAGTGGGTACTTCAGCCTCGGAAAGGGAGCGATGGGCCAGTCGAAGGATGGGATGTCCAGTTTATGGATGGCTTTGGAGTGTGTGGCGGCTAAGCAGCCTAAGGAATGGAGCACAGAAAGACATACAAGGTAACAAGGCACCTCAGTCACCATCAATTGCCTGCTTTTGGAAGCGATGCAAGTCCTCTAAACCAGCGTTTCTCAACTTGGGGGTTGGGACCGCTAAGGAGGGTCGCAAGGGGGTGTCAGAGGGATCGCCAGAGACCATCAGAAACACAGTATTTTCTGTTGTTCATGAGAGTTCTGTGTGGGAAGTTTGGCTCAATTCTATTGTTGGTGGAGATCGGAGTGCTCTTTGCTTGTAGGTGAACTATAAATCCCAGCAACTACAACTCCCAAATGTCAAGATCTATTTTCCCCAAACTCTACCAGTGTTCATATTTGGGCATATTGAGTGTTTGTGCCAAGTTTGGCCCAGATAAATCACTGTTTGAGTCTGTATGTAGGTGAACTACAACTCCAAAACACAAGGTCAATGCCCACCAAACCCTTCCAGAGTTTTCTGTTGGTCATGAGAGTTCTGTGTGGGAAGTTTGGTTCAATTCTATTGTTGGTGGAGTTGCTCTTTGATTGCAGGTGAACTATAAATCCCAGCAACCACAGCTCTCAAATGACAAAATCAAATCCTTCCTCCAACTCCACCAGTATTCGAATGTAGGTGCATCGAATATTTGTGCCAAATTGGGTCCAGTGAATAAAAAGACATCCTGCATATCCGATATTTACATTGAGATTCATAACAAAATTACAGTTATGAAGTAGCACAAAAATAATGTTATGGTTGGGACCTCTGCTCAGGTCTTGCAAATTCAGGGCAGCCATAATTTCCATGATCAAATCCATTAATCTACAATGCAGATTGCCCACTACCTTCCGCTTAACCAAGTACAAGCAGTCCCTTAGTTATGAACAAGACAGGTTCTGTAGATTTGTTCTTAAGTTGAATTTATTTGTAAGTCGGGACAGGGACATCGTTTAAGTATAACTCCAGCCAAAAATATATACCATTTAGTTCTAAATATCACAGGGAAGGATTAACACTCTTGCGTTTGTTTTGCTTTCTGTGACCCTGTTCAGGAGATTACCTAATCCTAACCCTCACTTTCTGTCCCTGTGATCATTGGATTTTGAGAAATGTGGCTCGTTGTGGAAACAAGGATAAAGTTTCAGTGGAGACACCTTTTCCCCACGTTAATAACTTTTTCAGGAGCAGATTTCCCTTTCGAGGGGGGGGGGGGTTCCTCTCACATCCTGTAGTCTCAGCTCCATTCTTAATTCAGGCCGGGCTTTAGCACAGCAGGTTAACCACCAGCTGCAGTAAATTTTGCCAATCGAAAGGTTGACAGTTCAAAAACTGGGCCAGGGTGAGCTCCTGGTCGTTAGCCCAGCTTTTGCCTACCTAGCAGTTTGAAAGCAAATGTGAGTAGATAAATAGGTACCACTTTAAAAGAGGGAGATATTTAAGGCACCCAAAAGGAAATGCCAGAAAAATATCAGCAATTCAATCAAGGAAGAAGTTTACAAACAAAGCTCTTTGGCAAGGAAGTGGCGTGACAGCACCCTTTGGGGCTGGAAGTGAGCACAAGCCTCCAAGATGCTGAAGATGGAAAAGCCTATATATATATATATATATACCTCTATCTATGTACAGTTGTCTGTCTTGTCAGTGTATAACAGCATTGAATGTTTGCCAAATATGTGGTCTGTGATCCGCCCTGAGTCCCTTTGGGGTGAGAAGGGCGGAATATAAATACTGTAAATAATAAATTGTAAGTTGAATGCTTGTCTGTTTTATTATTTTCTTAAGTGAGTCATCTTTCAATATATCTCACAATGTGGCCAAAATATTAACAGCCCCAGTTTAGCCATCTTGGCATCTAGGGAAGGTTCAGGCTTGGTTTGCTCTTAGACCCATTTATTGGTCTTTTTAGCAGTCTGTGATATGACGAGAATGACATTCAAATGGGTCTATTTCCTTCCTAACAGCTTTCCTTATGGAGCCTCAGTTGGCACAATGGGTTAAACAATTGTGCTGGCAGGACTGAAGACCGACATGTTGCAGGTTTGAATCCGGGGAGAGTGCGGATGAGCTTCCTCTGTCAGCTCCAGCTCCCCATGCAGGGACATGAGAGAAGCCTCCCACAAGGATGGTAAAACATCAAAACATTCTAGCGTCTCATGGGCAACATCCTTGCAGGTGGCCAATTCTCTCACACCAGAAGCGACTTGTAGTTTCTCAAGTTGCTCTTGACACAGAAAAAAAGTTGTCCTTATTTCACAACCATACAAAGAAATGGAAATATAATGTCATATGTGCAGACAAGGCCCAGTTCAGTCATACACTTCCAGCCAAGTCATATATATAGCATAGACTGTACTACTTTGTGTGAGTAAGCCATGCTTCAGGATAACCTTTCTGATGTAAATAAAAGGAAGAATCTTCTTGCAAGAGGAGAACTAGCATAGCAATGGGAATGCAGGGTTTACTTGGCAAGATTTGTTTAGAATGGGTTTTCTTTTCCCTTCCTCTGAGGCTGAGAAAGTGTGACTTGCCCAAGGTCACCCAGTATAGTGATTGCATATTCCTGTATGGCATAAGGGGGTTGGACTGGATGGCCCTTGGGGGACTCTTCCGATTCTAGGATTCTAGCCTGCCCACTGGAAGCAACATAGAAACCAATTGTCAAAAGGACCAAGAACAAGAATATGGGCAGTGCAATGCTCAAAAGTACTTCTCCTTTCTTCTATAAGGTCATTTCCTTACCCATGGTCCTTCCATGGAATCCGCCCATAAAGGAAAGCATGCTGTACTCGGGGCAACCGGGAGGCTGAAACCAAAACCGGAGATTAATACCATGACATTGTTCAATCTGTCTGTTAGGTGGCAGCATCGCCAGCCGGGATTTTATATATGGATTATATAACTGGCCTAGATAAGGGAATTATTTACTTTCTGTTTGGATTTCAGTATGCATAACACACCAAGGACCAAAAGAAAAGGGATCAGGGGCAATATCGTGAACCAAACTTTCCACAAAACAACAGCTACATCTGTTCATCCGGCAAGCACTGGGGGGTGCATCTACACTGTAAAATTAATGCAGTTTGACATCACTTTAACTGCCATAGCTCAATGCTATGGAATAATGGGATCTGGAGTTTGACATTTTTTAAGCCTTTTCTGCCAAAGAGTGACCAAGCTTTATAGGTCAGGATTCCATAGCTTTCAGTCACGTTGGTTAAAGTGGTTTCAAGCTACATTAATTCTACAGTATAGATGCACATCCTGGGGTGGGGGTGGGGGGTCAGGGCTTGTTGAATAAAGCCTGTGCATGAAACACAGCTTCCCACAAACAGTTTTACTGTAGCATCCCAAAACTCTGGCAGGTGAATCAGGTATCCTTCCTTTACCTGGTTGATCATGCAAGTTTCCAGCTCTTCCTTGGTCACATTGTTATGGCCCCTTTCTTTGCTCTGGAAATAGAAGGAGGAGAGTTTTCCTATTAGCCATCACAGGCAAAGACTCAAACATGCTCTGGCATATTATGAAGAATATTGGTGTCTAAAGATGGTCATTATACCCTGCTGATTATATTTATCATCCATAGAGGTATGTGAAGTTAAAAAAATATCCTCCAAAGATGGTCATTAAAGGAGAGGGAAATAACAACAACAAATAAAACATATAATATAATACTACTAATAATAATATGATATTATAATTATATATTTATATTACATGTAATATTACGAATAATATTACAATATAATGGTATGGTACAATATAGCAATATTTAATGCTGATATTGTACTATGCTAATAATATAACATATTGTATGTATATATATCTTGTAAGCCGCTCTGAGTCCCCTTCGGGGTGAGAAGAACGGCATATAAATGTTGTAAATAAATAAATAAAATATCTATATAAATTAAAATGTAATGTTAATTTGAGGGATTAACATAACTCAAAAACCACAGGACGAATTGACACCAAATTTGGACACAATACACCTATCAGGCCAATGAGTGACCATCACTCATAAAAACACTAAAAAACACAGCAGAAGAGATTTAAAAAAACAAAAAAGCAAAAAGATGCTACAGCGCATGCGCAAAACTGACTCCCCCAGCAAACAAAACACACAACAGCATGTCCACACTCTCTTCTGAACTACAGCTCCCAGCATCCCCTAGGCCAGTCCCTTTAGGAGAAGAGGATGATCCAAATGCACTGCTTCCAAGCTGCAAGCTTTCTTTACCTTGGATTTCTTTGAGAGCATCCCAATCCCTGCATATTTCCAATTCCTTATTCCTGGACTACAACTTCCAGCAATCCACCAGATAGATCGATTAGATAGAGATAGGTAGGTAGATAGATAGATCGATCAGGAGGACTGCTGGGAGTTGAAGTCCAAGAATAGGTAGAGAAGGAAGAAAGGGGGAAAAGAGGAAGGGAAACAAAAGGGGGGAAAGGAAGGGAAGAGGAAGAAAAGGAAGGAAGGAAGGAGAGAAGGAAAGGAAAAAAGGGGAGAAAGGAGAGCAAGAAGAAGGAGAGAAAGAGGAAGGTTGGCCACAGCAAGGTGTGAGGGGTACAGCTAGTATTATATAATAATGTGTAGAAATAAGGTGATGGTCAGCCCTTTCTATTCATTATTGTTAAGGGGACAGAATCCCAGTGAAAATGAAAAACCCAAAATAAACTGCATTTGATCACACCTATTTAGGAATTTCTAGGTCTTCTAGGCCAACTGTGCAGATGAATTCTGCTGGATGCTGACCATAGGACGCACTGGGGGACCTAGAGATTTTCAAAAGGAACATTTTAAGCAGAAACATTAAAATCCTAGGGCAAAACGACCCCAACAGTCCGTACTCACTCTGTACCACATGAAGATGGTTTTGAAGGCATTTTCGTTGGAGCAAGACCCACAGGACATGGTGATCACCTGAGACAGACCCTTGGGAGCCACCTGTTAAAAGGACACCAAAGGAAAGGAACAGAGAAGTCTCAGTTCAGAGTACAATGCACATCAACACAAATGCAAAACTCAGCTATAAGATCAATGCTTCTACTGCTGTTTTCCTTTTCTTGATGCCCCCCAATGGCCTGGATACACACTGACTTCTTTGTTTGCAGCATTGCCTCCAGTTGGCTCTGTTCTTCAAAACAAAAAAAAATCTACTATTTAGTTTAACATTTTTTGTCCCTTTTCTATATGACACTTTTATATCTATTTTTTATACGTGGCTCATATGATCAGTATGCTCAACTGATGCAAGTACTACCCATGGTCCCTTGCTATCTGATAAGAAATTTGCCCCATTTGGCCAAAATGATAAGGGAACCACTTTTATTTTTCCTCATTATTCAAATTTAAAAATCAATAGGACTGCTCAACTTTAGGTATTATGTTTATCTTCTGAAACTGTGCAGATTCGGTGTTGACTTGAGGGTGCATCTACATTGTAGAATGAATACACTTTGATACCAGTTTAAGTGCTATGGAATCCTGGGAGTTGTAGCTCTACAAGATCTTTAAGCTTCTCTGTCCAAAAGTATGGGTGCCTTGCCAAACTACAACTCCATAGCACTGAATGGGATTGAAGTAGGGTTAAATGGCACCCATTCTACAGATCTTTAGCTGACTTCAACCTAGCACTCTCTCCAGATATGTTGGACTACAACTCCCGTCATTCTCTGCTAAAGTCAGGGTGGGAAATGTAGTGAATGGGGTACCCCTGGAGAACAAAAATGTCTCCTCAAATTCTGTCCCACGTTGGGTTCCATTTTGCATTGCCTGCAATTCCAGGTCATGTAACTGGGTTAGGAACGGTTCGGTGATCCACTCCGTGGCAATTTCCCTGTTTCTTCTACTTATTCCATTCGAAACATACCGAGAGCAATGATTCCTTTAGCCTGTCAGCAAAGTTTTCCGGAGGCAAAATCCCCAAAGCCGGCCTGTTCACGAAGGTGCTCTGAAAAACAGCAGAAAGCATGTATAAGTAGTGTTCAAATCAGGGTGAGTCCTAGTTATGTTCTCTTCTGCTTTGGTGAGATTTCACTTGGGATAAATAACCCTGCGTCTGGTTCCGGACAAAGCAATTCAAGAAAGAGATGGACAAGTTAGAAGGGCCACCAAAATGGTCAAAGGTTTGGAAACCATGCCCTATGAGGAGAAGCTTAGGGAGCTGGGAAGGTTTAGTTTGGAGAAGAGAGGTTTGAGAGGAGACATGATAGCCATGTTTAAATATTTGAAAGGATGTCCCATTGAGGAGGGCCTCTTGGTGGCACAGTGGGTTAGACCACTGAGCTGCTGAACTTGCTGACCAAAACATTGGCGGTTTGGATCTGGGGAGTGGAGTGAGCCCCCATTGTTAGCCACAACTCCTGCCAACCTAACAGTTTGAAAACATGCAAATGTGAGTAGATCAATAGGTACTGCTTCTGCAGGAAGGTAACGTCATGCCATGCAGTCATGCTGGCCACATTACCTTGGAGGTGTCTAAGGACAACGCCGGCTCTTCGGCCTAGAAATGGAGATGAGCACCATTCCCCAGAGTTGAACACGACTAGAGTTAATGTTAGCGGAAACCTTTTACCTTTACTACCCATTGAGGAGAGGTCAAATTTGTTTTCTGTTGCTTTGGAGTCATAGCTTCAAAAGGCAGAAAAGGAGATGACACCTAAACATCATTAAGAACTTCCTGACAGTAAGAGCTGTTTGAGAGTGGAATGTGCTGCTCTTGAGTGGCATCTCTGGTGTTTTGTGGCAGAGACTAAATGGCCATCTGCTGGGAAGTTTTGGATTGTGTCTTCCTGTCTGGCAGACGAGGGTTGGACTGGCTGGCACTTACAGATCTATGGAATATGGACTGGGAGAATAATGGTGTTCATTGGTGGAATATGACGCATTGTGGTCTCGTGGAGTCTTCTTCTCTAGAGGCTGGATGGCCATCTGTCAAGAGGGCTTGGTTGGTGTCTTCCTGCATGGCTAAATGAGGATGAACTGGATGGCCCTTGGAATTTCTTCCAACTCTTATGGTATGATTTGAACCCCTCCTTCTTGGGAGAAGACTAAGCAAGAGATCCTGGTTCCAACTCCCAAAGCAGTGTTTCCCAAACTTCCAGATGTTTGGGACTTCAGCTCCCATAATCCCTGATCATTGGACAAGGTAGTCGAGGCATCTGGGAGCTGAAGTCCAAAGCACTTGAAGAACTAGAGTTTCCTGGTGACTGGAAAAAGAGATTATAAAAAAGGAGGAGCAAAACCCTGGAATTCAGGGCTCTTCGTAACCAAATGTGGCCCAGCTGCTATTCCAGAATTGCTCTGCTAATAACCCTTCTTTTTTTAGCAAAGCGCTATTGGATTTCCACTGGGTATGGGCTGAATCCATTATCCTAAGTTCAGGGGTCAAATTGTCAGCTGGTGAGTGAAATGATCATTTGGTCAGAAATCGAAAAGACCGACGAACGCCCTGCTGTTATCTTTTGCATTGCGAGAAGAGCAATGAACAAGATGTCTTTTTGGGACAGGAGATCCTCATGTCTCCCAAAGCAAATATGACACTGTGATTTGGGATTTATGATTGACTAGCCACCCCCTGCCATGCGTTGCTGTGGCCCAGTCTGAGTATATGTGTTTTGTGTGTGTATATATGTATGTATATATATATATATGTTTGCATATATGTGTGTGTGTGGTTTTGTGCATGTGTTGTAATGTATTTTTTTCTATTTTTGACTTTTTAAGTCTCTTCTACTGTGTTTTTCAGAGTTTTTATGAGTGATGGTCACTTGTTGGCCTGATAGGTGTATTGCGTCCAAATTTGGTGTCAATTTGCCCAGTGGTTTTTGAGTTATGTTAATACGACAAACAAACATTACATTTTTATTTATATAGACTAGCCGTACCCTGCCACGCATTGCTGTGGCCCACATGGGGGTTTTGTGTAGGAGGTTTGGCCCAATTCTATCGTTGGTGGGGTTCAGAATGCTCTGTGATTGAAGGTGAACTATAAATCCCAGCAACTACAACTCCTAAATGTCAAGATTCTATTTTCCCCAAACTCCACCAGTGTTCACATTTGGGCATATTGAGTCTTCGTGTAGAGTTTGGTCCAGATCCACCATTGTTTGAGTCCACAGTGATCTCTGGATGTAGGTGAACCACAACTCCAAAATCAAAGGACACTGCCCACCAAACCCTTTCAGTATTTTCTGTTGGTCATGGGAGAACTGTGTGACAAGTTTGGTTCAATTCCATCGTTGGTGGGGTTCAGAATGCTCTTTGATTGTAGGTGAACTATAAATCCCAGCAACTACAACTCCCAAATGACAAAATCAATTTTTTTGAGTGAAGGACATACATTGGGTTGCTAGGTGTCTTGTGTTCAAATTTGGTGTCAATTCGACTAGTGGTTTTTGAATTCGGTTAATCCCACAAACAAACATTACATTTTTATTTATATAGATTTCAGGGGCAAAATCAACAAATGGATAAAAATCAATAGACTTTAGGGATTTTGTTTCTTTTGGAAGAGGGTCCTTACCAAATTCTGGGGTTGCTGGAGGAGTTTCAGCAGAGCCGGATGGTTGTAACCTAGAGCAAAACAAGAGGGAGAATTTCCACCGCTTTCCAAAAAATCAAATTCACAATTCTTCAACTGTCAGCCAGAAAACATATTGTTGCACTCCACCCATTTAACATTTCTCAAAAGCAGAACCTTTGCCAGCTGCCTTTCCAAGAAGCACAGGGAGGAAAAGGCACAAGACTTCAAATGCCATTCTCTGGGGGGAAACAAGACATATCCGTATCGACTTCAAATGTAATTGGTGACACACCATTCGCTGCCCAGCCCTTCTCCTTTTCCCCGTTTGCACTTTTAATTAAGGTAGAAATGACGGGGAACGAAGAAACCCCGGGGAAGTGACACAAATCATGGCTCTGATGTTATTTAACTAGTATGCAATTCTGAAGGATATTACAAGGCCTCTGTCATGTGCATATCGTGTTGTGCCTTCAAGTCTCAAGCTGACTGATGGTGACTCCCTAAATTGATGGTGCTTATCCCAAAAGTCAAATATGATAACATCATGGTGGGTCTCTGGAGGAGATGTGCCCAACTCTAGTATATGCAGATATTACAGTGATAGCCACTTCTGACTCTGCCAAAGATCGGACTACAATTCCTATCTGATGCCTGGAAAGGATGGAAGCTGTAGTCATGGGGAACAAAAGGTGGCCAATTGCTGGCCTAGAAGGCCCATCCCCAATTGCTGAGATGTAATAGAGCTGGTCGTCCACATTTGCGGGGCAGACTTTTGTGGATTCACAGATGTTATTAATATGGTCTTTCTAAGGATATCTAGGAGCCCCCGGTGGTGCAGTGAGTTAAAGAGCTGAGTTGTTGAGCTTGTTGACCGAAAGGTCACAGGTTCGAATCCGGGGAGCGCCGTGAGCTTCCGCTGTCAGCCCCAGCTTCTGTCAACCTAGCAGTTCGAAAGCATGCAAAATGTGAGTAGATCAATAGGTACTGCTCCGGCGGGAAGGTAACAGCACTCCATGCAGTCATGCCGGCCACATGACCTTGGAGGTGTCTACAGACAACACTGGCTCTTTGGCTTAGAAATGGAGATGAGCACCACACCCCAGAATCAGACATGACTGGACTTAATGTCAGGGTATCTACCTAAGGATATCTAGAAAGTGTCACCCTATGGTAAACATCTAGCAGAAGTTGCACTGGAAGACTTAAAAATTCCCAAAGAAAACATGTCTTTAGGCCAGAGCTTTCCAAACTTTCCATGTTGATGGTATGCATTTTAGACATGCATCCTTTTGCAATATAATAATAATAATAATAATAATAATACTTTATTTATATTCTGCTCTATCTCCCCGAGGGGGCCTCAGAGCGGTTTCCAAGTAACATCACCGAAACATACAAAGTAAACAGCATAACACAAAATTAACAAAACAACATAAGCATAAAATTATCACAATATGGACCAGAGGTTAAACCAACCCCTCATAAGAGTTTCATACTATATATATATAGTACTAGCCGTCCCCTGCATATTTGTGTAAATGTGTATATGTGTGTTGGTGTGTGTGTGTGTGTATACATATATATATGTGGTTTTGCGCATGCGTTGTAATGTATTTTTTGTTTTTTGTTTTTTGGCTTTTTAAGTCTTCTCTGTTGTGTTTTTCAGTGTTTTTATGAGTGATGGTCACTTGTTGGCCTGATAGGTGTATTGTGTCCAAATTTGTTGTCAATTCGTATAGTGGTTTTTGAGTTATGTTAATCCCACAAACAAACATTACATTTTCATTTATATAAATATATTGAACAATGTGTAATATATATGTTTCATGTAATCTTTACTGTAGAGGAGCCCCCGGTGGTGCAATGGGTTAACCCCTTGTGCCAGCAGGACTGAGGACTGACAGGTCAGCAGTTCAAATCTGGGGAGAGCGGGCTGAGTTCCCTCTGTCAGCTCCAGCTCCCCATGTGAGGACATGAGAGAAGCCTCCCACAAGAATGGTAAAAAATCCAACATCCGGGCATCCCTGGGTGACGTCCTTGCAGACGGCCAATTCTCTCACACCAGAAGCGACTTGCAGTTTCTCAAGTTGCTTCTGACAAAAAAAAGCTTTACTGTATAAATAAGGTTTGGAATTTTTTCCTTTGCACTTACTGTACTGCAGTTGATTCATGTATAATTTCCTCTACAGTCACACCATATGATTCATCACACATATACTGGTTGTATATATAAAATGGGGCATGAATGTTGCCAGGGAGCATGTAAGACGGTTCAAAGGTTCAAACTGGATGCACAATACTGAAATGTCAGAGACTGGAGCCAAGGTCTGTGGGAGACACTAAGAATTATGGAGCCTTGTGACAAACTCAAGACTGCTTTACTGGGGTGTGAAAGATAATAAGCATAATTTAGAATCTGATAAATGGGAAGTCGAAGTAGGCCCTCAAAGATGCACCAGACGGTTGGTTCTCCTCCTAATTGTAGACAGAACATTTTGAATAAGCAATTGCTGCCCAAATAGTTGGGGAATGAATCATTCATCCTGGCATGAATTCAAAGAAAAAAGACCAATACAGGTTGAGTCTCCCTTATCTGGAATTTCCACAATGCTCCAAAATAATAATAATAATAATAATAATAATAATAATAATAATACCTTATTTATACCCCGCTACCATCTCCCCAAGGGACTTGGTGCGGCTTACATGAGGCCGATCCCATAGAACAATAATAATAAAAGCAATAACAAAACATCAATACAAAACAATCAAAATAAATCTCACAAACAAAAAATAAACAATAAACAGTAACAGTAACGACAAGCATTTAAAAACCTATGGCTGGGCTAAATTAAAAATTAAAAAATAATGCTGGGCATGAACAAGGTAATATACTGAGATAGAATTTGTCTATATTTTTTTTGTGTCAGGAGCAACTTGAGAAACTGCAAGTCACTTTTGGTGTGAGAGGATTGGCCATCTACAAGGACATTGCCCAGGGGACACCTGTATGTTTTTATCATCCTGTGGGAGGCTTCTCCCATGTCCCCACATGAGAAGCTGGAGCTGACAGACGGGAGCTCACCCCGCACCCTGGATTCGGATTGTCGATCTTTCAGTCAGCACTCCTGCTGGCAGTATGTATATGCAAGCATTCCAAAATCTGATTTTAAAAAATTCGAAATCCAAACCACTTCTGGCCGCAAAGTTTCTCAGATAAATGGAGAATCAACCTCTATTGATGTGCAAAGGGCATCCTTACAATAAAAAAGTTGGAAATGGCCCTTTTGCCTTTACTAATTACACATTCATCCTTGCCCAGCTTGAATTGTTTTGCACGTTCAATGGCATTTTAACAGTTCAGCCAACAGCGCTGGCATTAGCTCCTATATAAACAGAGCTTGCAATTTTCAGAGTAGGAATCAATATATAACAACTTGTGATATTTCTGTCTTGTTGACAACAAATTAGCTGCGTAGTTGGTGCTGTTCCAGCAGCGTCCTCTGAACGATTCAGACAGAACAGCATGGATCCAGAGGCTAGAAAAATACCAGTACACTCCATGGCCGTTAATCTGCATTCCTTCCCTTCGGGGTCTTGGATGCCGGCCCATTTCCACTCCTGGAAGGCTTGTGTAAGAAGGGTAAACTCTTATCTCCAGAGTTTGTGTAATTCCTTTTCTGTTTCTTGACCACTGCCATGAACATCCTCACTAAGAACATCAAATCATAGCATTTCATGACCAGCTATCACTACTAACTGGTTGACCCCAAGCAGCCTGGCCTGCATGATGGGAGTTGTGATCCCATGGGGCTCGGGGAACTTGTTATCAAATTGGGGGTATCTGCTTTCCACTTTTCTTCTCACTTTTGGGGTAAATGCCTACCTTGGGCTTGTAGATCAATAATCAACAGGCTCAGTTTGCAGGTTTACAGGTTAAATGATATGGTATTAAAGTAAAAGAGATGAAGAAGGAATAGAAAAACAAGTAAACCAGTTTATTTTCCATGTCAGAAGTGACTTGAGAAACTGCAAGTAGCTTCTGGTGTGAGAGAATTGGCTGTCTGCAAGGACATTGCCTGGGGGATGCTCGGATGTTTTACCATCCTGTGGGAAGCTTCTCTCATGTCCCCACATGAGAAGGTGGAGCTGACAGATGGGAGCTCACCCCACTCCCCGGATCTGAACTGCCGACCTTTTGGTCAGAAGTCCTTCTGACACAAGGGTTTAACCTTCTGCACCACCGGAGACTCCAAGTAAATCAGTGAAACTCATTTATCCGTTCTTGGAAAATTAAGTCACAGTTCGTACAAACTTAATTCTAAGTTCCAGTTGATTGCTAGGGGGATGCGCTTAGCAAAATAGTTTAATTTTTTGGTGCTATGCTGCATCTTAATGGTATTTAATTTTAAAAGGCAAGACCTAGATGCCAGTTGTGTATATTGTAATATGTGCTTTTATGGATGTATTTTAACTATGTTGTGCCCTGCCTCGAACAGTAAGGAGAGATGGGTAATAAATAAAAATTATTATGATTGTTATTGTTATTATTTGTATATGCAGCTTTTATAATGTTCATTTATGTTCTTGCTCTTCTATATTGTTTTATATCATTTATTTATTTGTTTATTTACTGCATTTGTATACCGCCTTTCTCAGGCAGAGGCGACTCAAGGCGGTTCACAATCGGAAGCAATTTGGTGCCTTAACAATATCAGGATTCAGTTAAAAACAATTATAAAACAGTTATAGAAACAGTGCAACATTAAAAATATAAAAACAATAATATCTATAAAACAAATCCTCAATGTCTCCTTATTGAAATCGTGATCCAATTACATTGTCAAACATTCCATGATTCATTTTCGTCTAATTATGCTCCAGTAGAAAAAACCTGCTCGAAAAGCCAGGTCTTGACCATCTTGCGGAATGTTAGAAGGGAGGGAGCTGATCTTATATCCCTGGAGAGGGCGTTTCATAGCCAAGGGGCCACCACTGAGAAGGCCCTGTCTCTCGACCCCACCAAACGCATCTGTGAGGAAGGCGGGATCAAGAGCAGTGCCTCCCCCCCAGACGATCTTAAAGTCCTAGATGGTTCATAAGGAGAGATACGTTTGGATAGGTAAATCGGACCAGAATCATTTGCTCTTTTATATTGCTTTATATAGTTGCTCTTTTGCCAGGCTTTAGCATAGCAGGTCAATCACCAAGCGGCAATAAATCTTGCCAACTGGAAGGTTGACAGTTCGAACCCCAGGTCAGAGTGAGCGCCTGACCTTTAGCCCAGCTTTTTAGCAGTTTCAAAACAAATGTGAGTAGATAAATAGGAACCGCATTAAAATGGGGAAGTATTTAGGTACAGCGTTTAGATCAGAAAAAAGGAGGAAGTTTGCAAACAAAGAAAGCTCTTCGGCAAGGAGATGGAATGACAGCACCCCCCTGTGGCCAGAACTGAGCACAGCCTCCAAAGATGCCGAAAGATGGGAAAGCCTATATATACCTCTATCTGTTGTCTGTCTTGTCATTGTATAATCGGCACTGAATGTTTGCTGTATATGTGTTCTGTGATCCGCCCTGAGTCCCCTTTTGGGTGAGAAGGGCGGAATATAAATACTGTAAATAAGTAAATATTGTATAATAAGATATGTTTTATAACATAATATTGTCTAATATAACATATTGTCTAATATAATATTGCATATTATATTTTTGCTCTTTTGCATATTTATTTGTGTGAATACGAATGACTTATGGACTGGGTGCTAATAAACCAAAAAAGCAAACATAACGATCAATTTCTAAGAGTTAAGAACCAGAAGAATCAGATAAATTGGACCCCTCAAAAAGGGCTTGAATACCCCAGAATTGCAACCTGCTTACTGTTTACTAGCAGTTTTTCTAACTTCCATCTCTATATCAATATCCGTTTCTTCCATTCATTATTCCTTCTACTTGCCGTTTCTTAGCTTACTGTTATTTTCTTGTTCCCTCCACTTTTGGATTTAGGTTATCTCTACTCACCACACTAAAACAGTGGATGTGGCTCTTAATGAGACATGCCGCATTATCACAGAGTGTCTAAGCCCTACACCACTGGAGAAATTACACTGTCTAGCCGGTATTGCACCACCTGACATCCGCCGGGAAGTAGCAGCCAATAGTGAAAGGACCAAGGCAGTGACATTTCCAGCTCATCCCTTGTTTGGGTATCAGCCAGCACGTCAATGACTTAAATCTAGAAATAGTTTTCTAAGATCTACAGAGACACTCGCTGGAACACCTCAGCAAGTGAGAGTCCAAAAGTGGCAGGCTCAAACCTCAATCAATGGCTGATACCAGATGAGAGACTCCCCCTGGGCACACTGAAGACTGGGCGACTTGGAAGGTGCTGAACAGACTGCCCTCTGACACCACGAGATGCAGAGCCAACCTTAAGAAATGGGGCTACAAAGTGGAATCCACGACATGCGAGTGTGGAGAAGAGCAAACCACTGACCACCTGCTGCAATGCAACCTGAGCCCTGCTACATACACAATGGAGGACCTCCTTGCCGCAACACCAGAGACACTCCAAGTGGCCCAGATACTGGTCAAAGGACATTTAATCAACTACCAAGCTTGCTAATTCTGTGTTTTGTCTGTCTGTTTGTTTTGTTCTGTTAGAAATGTAATACAATGGTCTGGTTGCCCCTGACACGATAAATAAAAATAAAAATCTCTCCTGCACCTGGCTGTAAAGCTTGGAACATTTATCCTTTACCACATTCAATTATTGATCCATTCCTGGAGCAGGTAGTGCATTTAGGCACATTCCACGGCATCACCATGAATAATCTCGGAAGGCAACTACCTCAACCTGACGACCTATGAATCCCAATTGGCCCCATTTCCTTCCGTTCCTTCAGCTGTTTTCCTGATAAGGTTCTTGTAATATTTAGCCAGCAATATATAGAAACACTTCCAAGCAATGCGCACGAGGCAGCCTTACCTATTGGGATGGAAGAAATCTGAGAGTAGAGGTCTAACATCCGGTTGCCATCGACATCGACGAGGTAATTCCCCCGGCTTTCCTCGTAATTGCAGAAAAAGTGCACGGCTTCAGCATTCTTGGTGAGACATGAGAGGAAAGGGTTTGCCTTGGGCAGCATTTTCTGGGAGGCAGCAGCAAGGTCTTGGAGGAGAGAGCTGGACACCTTAAGTCAAGCCTAATGGCTTCAGGTACAATAGATGATTTCTCATTGGCTGAACATGTTGGTTTTGGTACATGAAATGTGTCACCTTGGGTCAACCCTACTATATCTGGGGACCCACAGGTTGAGAACCACTGGATTACACAATACTTCCCTTACAGATGGGATCTCTCTAGGCTCCCCACCAAGCTGTACTGGAGGACCTATAGAACCCTAGGGAGAAATCTCTAGATTCTCCAGCACCAATCTTTGGTCAACGTCTGATGGAAGTCATTATTGAAGGACCCAAAGATTCCAAGAGAGATGTTCTCTCATGCAAAAAATAATGCCCACTCTTGTGCCCCTAACCTCAGCAAATATGGAGAGCCTATTATAGTATGGCTCCATCCCTTGGAGTGCTTCCAGATTAGGCTTTTAGTCCCTCTGCAGCTTCTCAAAGGATTCAACTAGAAAGATTTGGGAGTAAAACGCTTCAAGACATTTGAGATGTCAATAAATTACCTGAATTCCATTCAACTGTTTCATTAGCTCCTGAAATAATAAGAAAAGAAGAGCACCGTGAACTTAAGTAGTTGTTATTCTGGCTTCAACAAACCAATCTTAGAATGGAACTGTTTGGATCACAAAAGTATTCGATTCAGAAGAAAGGCTTTCTATGAAACTCTAGAGAACGTGTAAGGAGAACAATAGCTCTAAGGTGCGTCTACACTGTAGAATTAATGCAGTTCGACCACTTTAACTGCTATGGAATTCTGGGAGTTGTAGTTTGGTGGTGCATGAGTCCTCTTTGACAGAGAAGGCAAAAGACCAAGTAAAACTACAAATTCTTTGATTCCATAGCACTGAGCCATAGCAGTTAAAGTGCCAGGCTTTAGCACAGCAGGTTAACTGCCAGCTGCAGTAAACATTGCCAACCAAGTTGAAACATTCACACCTAGCTCCAGCAGAGAAGAGCTCTTTGCCCCACCCCAGTTATTCCACGGATATATGACAGCAGTGCCAAAGTGCATCAAGTCTTCAGTTTTGATACTAGAAGGCAAACATGACCCAATCTGCAGGATCCAGCCCCTTCTATAAGATTTAACTAGTTTTTATTGCTGCTTTGCATCCTTTATATTGTCCTTGCTGCTTGTAAGTGAGAAGCAAGGAGTCACTTAGGCAAGAGTCATCCCCATTCTTGATATTTCACCAGGCATCACATAACTTTTGCATTGAAAAAGAACGGAAGGTTGATTATGCCTTCAAAAGCACACATTCTGTGAGGTTGTTTTGTTCCCTGGAGGCATTTGGAATGCAAATCCAAGACGCTTATTTCTCTTCCAGCAGTCTCCCTTTTATGCAAAGGTCCCCAAAGCGTTACAGAGGGATTATTCTACAGAAAAATGTGCATGGAACTTGTCCAAAAAACCCTATGTGCTGTTGAAGGCTTTCATGACCAGAATCAATAGGTTGCTGTGAGTTTTCTGGGCTGGATGGCCATGTTGCAGAAGCATTCTCTCCTGACGTTTCTCCCACATCTATGACAGGCATCCTCAAATGTGGTGAGGTCTGTTGGAAACTAGGCACGTGAGGTTTATATATCTGTGGAATGTCCAAGGTGGGATAAATAACTCTTGTCTGGAACATGGCCATACAGCCTGGAAAACTCACAGCAACCCAGTGATTCCAGCCATGAAAGCCTTTGACAACACATCGAACATCTCTATGGGGAGAAACTGTTACAAGACACACGGAGATTGGAGAAACTAAGGACCAGGAAAGCACATATACTGTGCTTCCTGACTTTCCTTCTACGCTGCAGAGACACAGATACTATTCCACAATTTCTCACAGCCAAAAGGACTTCCAAAACACGATAGGCTCACCGTATTTACGACCGCCTGGAACGTAACCTCTTACGAGAGAGGATTCACACTATCCTCCAGGCAGGAAGCAGCCAGGCTTTGAAGCTTCAAGACCATTCAATGCTAATCAAGATGGAGGAATTCAGGAAGGAAACAATGAGGGCCAGCTAATGCCTCCCAACAAAGGATTCCCCCTGGAAGGAAGCTGGCAGACTTTGAAGCTGCAAGGCAATTCAACACTAATCAAGGTGGCCAATTGAAACATTCACACTTGTCTCAAGCAGACAAGAGTTCTTTCTCCCACTCAGGATATTCTACAGATATAGAAACCCACTTGCCTAGTTTCCAACAGACCTCACAACCTAATAGGATGCCTGCTATATATGTGGGTGAAACGTCAGGAGAGAATGCTTCTGGAACCTGGCCATTTAGCGTGGAAAACTCATAGCAACCCAACCCTATGTGCCTTCTTCTGCAGAAAAAAATGCCTCAGGGACGTTCCAGGATGTCCGAATCCCAGGAGCAAATGGCAAAAGTGATTCTTTTCCAAATCTCAAACACATTTGGACAGTGTATATCTCACTTTGGGAAATGAAGCAGTTCAAAAGGGGATCAATATATATATCACTAGGTTCTTGTGGGTTTTTTTCGGGCTTTATTGCCATGTTCTAGAGGAATTTTCTCCTGACGTTTCGCCTGCATCTATGGCAAGCATCCTCAGAGGTAGTGAGGTCTGTTGGAATTAGGAAAATGGGTTTATATATCCGTGGAATAACTGGGGTGGGGCAAAGAGCTCTTCTCTGCTGGAGCTAGGTGTGAATGTTTCAACTGACCACCTTCATTAGCATTTGAAGGCCTGGCTGAGCCTGGGGGAATCTTTTGTTGAGAGGTGTTAAGATGTGCCTGGTTGTTTCCTCTCTGCTGTTTTGCTGTTGTAATTTTAGAGTTTTTTAATACTGGTAGCCAGATTTTGTTCATTTTCATGGTCTCCTCCTTTCTGTTGAAGTTGTCCACATGCTTGTGGATTTCAATGGCTTCTCTGTGTAGTCTGACATGGTGGTTGTGAGAGTGATCCAGCATTTCTGTGTTCTCAAATAATATGCTGTGTCCAGGTTGGTTCATCAGGTGCTCTGCTATGGCTGACTTCTCTGGTTGAAGTAGTCTGCAGTGCCTTTCATGTTCCTTGATCTGTGTTTGGGCAATGCTGCGTTTGGTGGTCCCTATGTAGACTTGTCCACAGCTGCATGGTATACGGTAGACTCGTGCTAATCAAGGTGGTCAGTTGAAACATTCACACCTAGCTCCAGGAGACAAGAGTCCTTTGTCTCACCCTAGTCATTCCACAGATATATAAACCCATTTTCCTAGTTCCAACAGACCTCACTACCTCTGAGGATGCTTGCCATAGATGCAGGCGAAACGTCAGGAGAGAATGCCTCTAGATGGCCATATAGCCAAAAAAACCCACAAGAACCTAGTGATTCCAGCCATGAAAGCCTTCGACAATAAATATATATATCAGTTTACCTGAGATCTGGGACCAGGGACTTCGGTCTTCATAAGAGGCCCATCGTAGTCAAACTCCACATCAATCTTTGCCGCTGCTTGACCGATGCCCCGGTGCCCTGCAAATCATATGGAATGAAATGTTTATTATTTTACTTTATTATCGTTATTATTACATTTATAATTTTACTTTATTATTGTTATTATTACATTTATTATTTTACTCTATTATTATTACATTTATTATTTAACTATTTATTATTATTGCGTTTATCATTTCACAGTTATTATTACATTTATTATGTTACTTTATTATTGTTATTATATTTATTATTTTACTCTATTATTATTACATTTATTATTTTACTCTCTTTTTTATTATTGGAAGCATATGTAAGCACAATTACAGCAAATTTTTGTTTTTTTTTTATTTGATTGTTGTTTTATTACAAGGGTGGCAATGAGCATTGCCACACTACTCTTAATACCGGAAGTCAATACATTTTCCCTATTTTTTGTGGTGTTTAAAATTAGGTGCCTCAGCATATATTTGGGTCGGCTTCAGAATGGGGGATGTGTGGCTCGAGAGAGTACGTGTGAAAAAGATCTTGGAGTCCTCGTGGACAACAAGTTAAACATGAGCCAACAATGTGATGTGGCGGCAAAAAAAGCCAATGGGATTTTGGCCTGCATCAATAGGAGCATAGTGTCTAGATCTAGGGAAGTGATGCTACCCCTCTATTTCGCCTTGTTAGACCACACCTGGAATATTGTGTCCAATTCTGGGCACCACAATTCAAGAGAGATATTGACAAGCTGGAATGTGTCCAGAGGAGGGCGACTAAAATGATCAAGGGTCTGGAGAACAAGCCCTATGAGGAGCGGCTTAAGGAGCTGGACATGTTTAGCTTGAAGAAGAGAAGGCTGAGAGGAGATATGATAGCCATGTATAAATATGTGAGAGGAAGGAGGGAGCAAGCTTGTTTTCTGCTTCCTTGGAGACTAGGACGTGGAACAATGGCACCAAACTACAAGAAAGGAGATTCCATATGAACATGAGGAAGAACTTCCTGACTGTGAGAGCCGTTCAGCAGTGGAACTCTCTGCCCCGGAGTGTGGTGGAGGCTCCTTCTTTGGAAGCTTTTAAACAGAGGCTGGATGGCCATCTGTCAGGGGTGATTTGAATGCAATATTCCTGCTTCTTGGCAGGGGGTTGGACTGGATGGCCCATGAGGTCTCTTCCAACTCTTTGATTCTATGATTCTAGTATATACGGTAATTTTAAAAACAATTAAATTTTTTTATCAGGAGTGTACAAGTTAAAATTTAATTAAAATACAATGAAAATGACATGGAAAAGCTAGACAGCCTGCATTTAGATACAGCCGAGGTCACTTTAGTTCAATAGCTCTCTCTTCACTTGACCAACCTCACAGGGCTGTTGTGCAGGTAAATTAGGGAAGAAAGGATAAATATGATAAAAATAAAACAAATCCCTTTGAGCAAAGCCGGACTTGTTTCTGGGGATACAATCGGACACCTTGTGTGTGGCCATGCTAAATGAATATAAAAGGATCAACAATAACCACAATAGTTTTGAGTGAGAATGTTAATAGATACACAAAACAACAAAGATGTCCTTAAGAAAGGCTGCCCTGCCATCCCAGAACATTGTCCGAATGGCACTTTTTTCCAAGAAATGCAATGTTCAGCTAAGCAAGTAAACACCTCTTACGCAACTTTATTTATTCCGTGCGGAAGGGGTAATACAAGATGCAGCTGAGGATGAAAGGGCGACGGAGTTTGCACCCATTGAACTCCCCTTTGGCACTCTTCCTGGGACCAAAAAGCCTCTCCGTTCCTTAAGGGTCACCAATCCAAAGGGAAGACTTTGGATCAGCTCTGAGTCTGATTTTGCTTACAGAATAAGACTGGCTAGGCTTTAAGAAGAACTCTTGCAAGCTGAACATATTTTTTTCTGGAGCAGATGGGGAAACGTTACAGTTCAAGAGCAAAGCCAACGGGTGGAAAACAAACATTGGAAGGAAGCCATGAACTCATTCAGGATGGCGGCAAAAAGCATCTACACGGGAGAACAAATGCAGATTGGTGCCACTTTAATTGCACTTTAAATGCTATGGAAGCATCGGAATTATAATTTCATAAGGTCTTGCACTTTCTCTGTCAAACAGCACCAGTTCCTCACCCAACTACAGATCCCAGGATTCCATAGCAGGTAAAGTGGAGTCAAACTGCATTAATCTCACAGTGTAGACACATGCTCAGCTTTGGCCACCTCCCCTGAAACTCCAATATAAGACCCCCAAAGTAAGCTTTGTGTTTGCCTCTCTGTGCTTTATTAAAACACTCACCTGCGGCAAATATCCTAGAGTTCTGCTGCAATGAAGAGGCCAAGTGTCGGCTCAGCAGCATCGAGGCCATTTTACCTTTCCTTCCGCCAGAAAAAGAAAAGCGATTCAAGAGTTAACTTCTTCACTTCTGTCCAGATGAAGACCTGGAAGAGATGGAAAGAAATACAGTAGACTCTCGCTTATCCGACAATCCGTCTTTTCCAACGCTCTTATCCGACACCCCCCTTTTCCTCCAGCATTTCGCCTTCAATTAAAGGAGCGCTCCCCAACTCTCTCTCCATTCCCAATAAGTGAAAAAGGGGAGGAAGAGGAGGGAAGAAAAAGGGGGAAAGAGGCAAGACCAGAAATGGAAGCGTCCTCCCTCCTTCCCTCTGAGATTTCCACGCTCCTCTTTCATATCCGGGCACTTCTTGCTGGGCCACTCTACCCCCAAGGCGTTGCCTTGCCTTAATCCTTTGAGTCCCTGTTGTTAGTATTATAAGTGTCTAGTGTCAGATGGGTAACAGTAGGAGACTCCGTATTATCCAACATTTTTGTTTATCCGACATTCTGCCAGCCCATTTATGTCAGATAAACGAGACTCTACTGTAAAACACAACCCAGCTCATGCTCACATACCTACGTATATACACTGTAGGTGCAGACTCAGTCACTTATATTTCCTAGATGTTTTGCTATGCATATTTGAAAGGACAAACTGAAATAATAATAAAAAATTCCCCAGGATCCACTATATTAAGCTTTCACCTTTTGGATACCTAAGGTACTTAAAATTAGAACTGGAATTTGTATTTTGGGCAAGTGTGGGCAAAGTGTGGCACCTGCAAATGTCTGCCACCCACTCTTAAGAATATATATTGAATTCCATGGCATTTTAATTACCAGATGAACCAACTTTTGATTTTATGTCCTTTAGCAGAACCTCAAGTTACTGGAAGTGACTTTAAAATAATCTTTGAACGCAAATCATCTGCTTAACCTAACTCTAGTTCCTATGGAGCATCTACACTGTAGAATTAATGCAGTTTGACACCACTTGAACTGCCTTGGCTCAGTGCTATGGAATACTGGGATTTGTAGTTTGGTGAGTCACCAGCACTTGTTGCCAGAAAAGTCTCAAGATCCTGCAAAACTACACAGCATTGATCCAGGGCAGTTTAAGTGGTCTCAAACTGCATTAAATCTAAAGTGTATATGCACTTCTAGTCTAATCTAACTCAGTCTTGGTCAATGGCTGAGGATTCTGGGAGCTGAAGCCCAAAACATCTGCGGCGCCAAAGACTGAGGTCCATGACATTAGGGAATTGAGTGTTATGGTAATGTTTCCTTTCACAAAGCTGTGACCTTCCATCGTCAGCTGTCTTCCCAAAATATTACATAGCGGGCCCTTGGTATTCACCACAGTTTGGTTCCCGTAGTGGATCCCCAAAACTATGGACATAGAAGTTCCATTATATATAACTAGCCGTCCCCTGCCACGTGTTGCTGTGACCCAGTCTGTGTATATGTTTTGTGTGTGTGTGTGTGTGTGTATGTATGTATGTATGTATGTATATATATATATATATATATATATATGTGTGTGTGTGTGTGTGTGTATATGTGTGTGCATGTGTGTATATATGTGTGTATTTCTGTGTTTATATGTGTATATGTATATTGTGTATATGTGTATGTCTATATGTATATGTGTGTATATGTATATGAAAATATGTATGTGTGCATGTGTATATGTATGTGTATATTTATGTGTACTTGTGTCTCTGTATGTCTGCATGTGTATATGTATATGAGTGTATGTGTATATGTATATATATAGTTTATTTTTGGGGGGGTTAAGTCCATTCTGCTGGGTTTTTTGTGTGTGTTTTAGGGATGATGGACACTCATTGGCCTGATAGGTGTATTGTGTCCAAATTTGGTGTCAATTCATCCTGTGGTTTTTGAGTTATGTTAATCCCTCAAACTAACATTACATTTTTATTTATATAGATGGTATGGTAAAATGGTGCCCCTTATACAGAAAGGCAAAATCAAGGTGTGCTTTTCAAAAACCTTTCTCTTCCAACAAGCTTTTGATGGATGAATAACTCGGGACTATGTCTGTTCTTGTTTTTATTGTATTTTAAAGTTAATTGTATTGTTTTCATCTACTGCTGTAAACCGCTCTGAGCCAAATTGGGAGTAGCAGTATACAAGTCAAATAAATAAATAAATAAATAAAATATCTTTTTGAATATTTTTAAGCTGTTGCATCCAAAAATGCAGAATCCGTGTATACAGAGTACAATAGCATATGGCACCGATCTTTGGCACAGCAGAACATCTCAGAGGCCAAAGAAAGGCTTATCTGTGCCGCACAGGCTTCCACAACCTGCTGCAATAAGTCATTCCTTCTCTGCAGAAAATGCTGCTGTTCTTATCACCTTTCTTAAAGGACAACCCCACAAATCCATGGAGAGGGAGTCACAAGTGAAAAACAAAAGGTACAAAAAACAAGGATGATAAATAGCATTTGAGATCTCTAGAGATTTACCAAAGTCCTCCAGACTGCAGGATTAGAGCCCCATTGACATTGCTATATTATGGAATTTGAGACCCCATTGTATAGTCAATGCAGACTCACATAATGCTGTTGATATTCTATTATATAACTCTACATCTACCATATAATACAGCAGTGGTTCTCAACCTTCCTATTGCTGCGACCCCTTAATAAAGTCCTTATGTTGTGGTGACCCCCAACCATAACATTATTTTCATTGCTACTTCATAACTGTAATTCTGCTACTGTTATGAATTGTAATGTAAATATCTGATATACAGGATGCATTTTCATTCAATGGATCAAATTTGGCACAAATATCCAATACGACCAAATTTGAATACTGGTGGGCTTGGGAGGGATTGATTTTGCCATTTGGGAGTTGTAGTTGCTGGGATTGATAGTTCACCTACAATCAAAGAGCATTCTGAACCCAATCAACAATAGAAAACTTGGCACACAGAACTCCCACGACCAACAGAAAATACTGGAAGGGTTTGGTGGGCATTGACCTTGAGTTTTGGAGTTGTAGTTCGCCTACATCCAGAAAGCACTGTGGATTCAAATAATCATGGATCTGGACCAAACTTGGCATGAATAGTCAATATCCCCAAATGTAAACATTGGTAGAGTTTGGGAAAAATAGACCTTGACATTTGGGAGTTGTAGTTGCTCCGATGTATAGTCACTGACAATCAGAGCATTCTGAACCCCACCAATGATAGAAGTGGGCCAAATTTCCCACACAGAACCCCCATGACCAAAAGAAAATACTGTGTTTTCTAATAGGTCTTTAGTGACCCCTCTGACACTCTACTCATGACCACACCAGCGGTCCCGACCGCCAGGTTGTGAAACACTGTAATACAGTTTCAAGCTACATTATACAGCATTGTTGATGGGGCCTTAGAAAACCTCCACAAATACTCCCCTGTGAGTCTTCTGCTAAGAGGTTTATTGTTATTCCTACATAATTTGTGTTCAGCTTTGAAAGAATTGTATCCAAAGAAGATTTGAATATAATAAGATCTCTCTATCCATGGGTTCCTTACCAACTGTCATTCAGCTTCTAGCAAAGGTTGACCATAGAATCATGCAGGAAGACCTAGAAATTCCACCTTCCATTTTCTCTTTCTTTTCTTTCTTTCCTCTTTCTTTTCATCTCCTTCCCTTCCCTTCCTTTCCCTCATACTCTCCTTTCTTTTCCAGTGGCCATTTCATCTAGCCTTTGTGGTACAACACATGTACATATTTATCTATATCTATATATCTATATCATCAATATCCATATCCATGCCCATGTCCATAGGTAAAGGTTTCCCTTCACATTAACTCTACTCATATCCGACTCTGCGGGGGTGGTGATGCTCATCTCCATTTCTAAGCCATCTTGAGTCCCTCTATGGAGGTTAGAGAAGAACAGTATATAAAAGTCTTAAATAAATAAATAAATAAGCTGAAGAGCCGGTGTTGTCCATAGGCACCTCCTAGGTCATGTGGCCAGCATGACTGCATGGAGCACCATTACCATCCTGCCGAAACGGTAGCTATTAATCTACTCACATTTGCATCTTTTCGAACTGCTAGGTTGTCAGAAGCTGAGGCTAACAGTGGGGGCTCACCCTGCTCCCCGGATTTGAAACGTCAACCTTTCGGTCAACAAGTTCAGCAGCTCAGTGGTTTAACCCGCTGTGCTACCAGGGAGCCCTTATCCATATCCATATCTATCCATTAACTTGTTTGATAAAAGAAATGGTTCAAAACTTGTTTTGGATTTAGGGGACACTGGTGGTTCGATTCTAAAGTCAATTCCGATTTTCACAGAAAAAAATGTTCAAAACTTTTTGAAACTTCCGAGACTTCCGAATCCTTTCGTTAATAGTTTGAAAGTGTTATTTTCTGTTTTATTGGGTGGTCTTTACTTTGAAAGTAGTTTTTTTACTCCAGAAGTGGGGAAAAGCAGCGGAGGAAATTCCTTCCTTCTCTGGTTTAAAACTGGCTTCCCTGGCTTGAGCCGAGGCCAGAGACCAGAAGTGGGGAAAAGCAGCGGAGGAAATTCTTTCCTTTTCTGCATTAAAACTGGCTTTTCTGGCTTGAGCCGAGGCCAGGGACCAGAAGTGGGGAAAAGCAAACAGAGGAAATTTCTTCCTTCTCTGGTTTAAAACTGGATTCTCTGGCTTGAGCTGAGGCCAGGAAATTCCTTCCTTTTCTGGGTTAAAACTGGCTTCTCTGGCTTGAGCCGAGGCCAGGGACCAGAAGTGGAGAAAAGCAAATGGAGGAAATTCCTTTTTTCTCTGGTTTAAAACTGGCTTCTCTGGCTTGAGCCGAGGCCAGAGACCAGAAGATGGGAAAAGCTGAATCTTTTCCAACTCACTTCATGAGTCATAACAAAAAGCTTCGGAAGGGCAAAGGGACTTCCAGTTTTCTTAAAAACTTCAAAATCGCTTCAAAACGGTAACTTTTCTGACTTTATTCCAAATTACAAAGATTCCGACGGTACCTAACCATGCCTACTATCCATCTATCTATATGAGATAAAATGTTGGGATTGTGGTCACTGTGTGTGATTAATGCTTTAACGTAATCCTCTACTAAAGC